CACCAGGGCTAAAACAATACCAGTTATTTAAAACATAAAATATAGCATAACATATGTCAAAGTTGACTCAGCCTTCCGTCCAACCTTCCGAGGTGGGTAAAATGAGGAGCCCAGATTGTTGGGGGGGGGGCAAGAGGCTGACTCTGTAAACTGCTTAGAGAGGGCTGTAAAAGCACTGCGAAGCGGTATAGAAATCCTAAGTGCTGTTGCTTATAACAGGGTTGGAAGGAACTTTGGCGATCCAGTCTAGTCCAACCTCCTGCTTCTACCATCCCTGTCAAACAGTTCTACAGTCTATTCTTGAGCACCTCCAGTGATGGAGCCCCCACAACTTCTGAAGACCATTATTGGAGCAACGTCCACAACGTCTGGTGGCAAGCTGTTCCACTGATTAATTGTTCTCCCTGTCAGGAAATTTTCTCCTTAGTGCCAGGTTAGATCAAGGTTTCCACCCATTACTTCTTCTCGTGCCCTCCAAAGCTTTATAGAATAGGTTCCCCACAGGGGTGGGTTCTAATTTTTTTTACTACCGGTTCTGTGGGCGTGGCTTATTTTGTGGGCGTGGCTTGATGGTCATGTGACAATTATTTAGGATTTAGCAGAGGTGCTGGTCTACCAGGCTTTTAACTGCTTGCAGAGCTGTACCGATCTACCCATTTATTTTTGCAGGCACCGGTCTACTCATTTGTTTTCTTTTAACACCGATCAGCCGTAGGGCGGCCCTTTGAAGCCCCACGGCAAGAGTTTAAACAGTTTTTTTCCCTCTAGCCATCAGCTGGGACTCAGGAGGTAGCAATAGATTGGGGGTGGGGCCAAATAAAAGGTAAGAATAACACGGGGGGGGCGGGGGGCGGGCGAGGGCAGAACCGGTTCGGTGACATCGTATCATCACCGCTACCGGCTCGGCGGAACCGGGCGGAACCCACCACTGGTTCCCCACCCCACCCCACCTTCTCTCTGACAGCCTCTCAAGTACCAGAAGAGTCCTTTTCTTCACGAGACTAGACTTACCTAGCTCCCTCAACCGTTCATTGTACGGTCGGACTTGCAGATCCCTTCTCATCTTGGTGGCTCTTCTCTGCACCCTTTCTAGGGTCTCTCGGGATCTTGTTTTTGTAGAACGGTGACCAGAACTGGACGGAGTTTTTCCCAAGTGTGGAAAGACAACCTCCCTTCCAGTTTGAATTTAAAGCCCTTCGGATAAGCGCAGCCAGTTAAAACCAGCTTTACATCTTTTCAAGCAATCCCGGAAGAAGTAAGTCGGTCCAAAAAAAAAAAAACAAAAAAAAAAAAACTCCAGGCGCTGATATATTTTTCTTATCAACTGGCACACATGTCAATGTATGCAAACATACCTTTTCCCCTGCTGGAAATCACCTCGCTGTTACAGCGGTGGCCAAAATTGTGGAAACCTTTTTGGGAAAAGTGTATTTTTGAGGTTTGATGGCTAATAACACCACTTTTTTTTTTTTTTTTTTTTTTTGGTGAGTTTCAAGATAATCCTATTCCATTGCTAGAATGGCCTGGTTAGTCAGAAGCGACCCTGGAGCCTGGTGGCACAGCAGACTAAACTGTTGCTGTTAAAGTAGCACTTAGCTGCCAGCTGCCTGCAATTACTGCGAGTTCAATTCTCACCAGGCTCAAGGTTGACTCAGCCTTCCATCCTTTCGAGGTAGGTAAAATGAGGACCCGGTTTGTGGGGGCAATAAGCTGACTTTGTATAAAATAGAACACCGCTTAGGGGGGCCCAAAAAGCCCTACTAAGCATAAAAGTATGAAGGCTATTGCTTAATGCATTGTTAGCCGCCCTGAGTCTCCGGAGAAGGGCGGCCTATAAATCGAACTAATAAATAAATAATAAATAAATAAACCCAGCAATAAAACCCAGTTCATAGAAGCCATCATTCAATCTTGGTTTCACATTAGAATAGCTGCAGAACTAAAAGACTTGGTTCACTCCATGGGAAGACGTTGTAAGGCCGTCATTCATCCTAAAGGTTACCCAACTAAGGATTAACTGACGTGGTGATCATTTTTGTATATCTCGTTTTTTCTATGGTGATTTTTGTATATTCACTTTTTTATGGTGATCATTTTTGTATATCTCGTTTTTTCTAGGGTGCTCATTTTTGTAGATCTCGTTTTTTTCTACGTGTTTTCACTTTTCTTCTTTATACGGTAACTGCTATTCTAATAGCAAATCCTTCCTAAAAGTTATTGCATTACATTCTTGATTAAATGATCTTTCCACTGATATATAATTTTATGGAACTACTCCCAAAAATAGTAGTGTTATTAGCTAGTTTTAGAAAATACACTTTTCCCAAAAGGTTCCCACAATTTGTATATCTCGTTTTTTCCTATGGTGATTTTTGTATCTCTCATTTTTTTATGGTGATCATTTTTGTATCTCTCGTTTTTTCTACGTGTTTCACTTTTCTTCTTTATGCTGTAACTGCTATTCTAATAGCAAATCCTTCATCAAAGTTATGGCATTGCATTCTTGATTAAATGATCTTTCCATTGATATATAATTTTAGGGTACTACTCAAAAAAAAAAAAAAAGTGGTGTTATTAGCTAGTTTTAGAAAATACACTTTTCCCAAAAGGTTCCCACAATTTTGGCCACTACTGTATATGAAATATCACCCCGCTGTCCAGTTTTCCTTTCCTGTCTGCATTTCCCATCCCCTGCTGTAGTTCTGCAAAAATAACCTGGGTGTTTGCACCTTACCTTTTCCCTCTCTTAAGCCCTTTCTTGCACGCCTTCTTCTTTGCGAGGGTGTCGAAGCGAAGCTTGCCAAGGAAACCTGGATGATGCTTCTCCGACATGGAGCAGCCTCTCTTCAGGGAGATCCGTCCCAGGTGCTCCAGAAAGCTTGTTCTAGCCCTTCGAACCCAATTTCTCCCACTTGGGGCTAGCTCTTTCCCTCGGGAATTTCAAGGGACCCTCCCTCCCCCATCCCCTGGACAGAAAACGTTCAGCAGTTCAACTCCAGCTACTGTACTGCCACCCAGGCTGACTCTCCTCCCACTTTCTGCGGCACAGAGGAGACATTCACCAGCCTCCCAAGCCCGCACCGGAACAAAGTGACTGCTTGTATCTCGCTGCGGGACTGGCATCAACAGAGACATTGTTCCTGGCATAGCTGCTTTTTCTTTCCCTCTTTCTCTAGCTAGGAAAGGCAAAAGCCAGCAGACATCCCCCAGCCCAGTCTTATACTACAGGTAGTCCTCGACTTACAACAGTTCATTTAGTGACCATTCAAAGTCTCTCTCCCTCTCCCTCTCTCCTTTCTCTGTGACTCTGTCTTTCTCTCTCTCTCTCTCTCTGTCTCTCTCTTTCTCTGTCTCTATCTCTGTCTCTCTCTCTCTCTCTCTCCCTCTCCCTCTCTCTCTCTCCTTTCTCTGTGACTCTTTCTCTCTCTCCCTCTCTCCTTTCTCTGTGACTCTGTCTTTCTCTCTTTCTCTCTCTTTGTCACTCTGTCTCTTTCTCTCTTTCTCTCTGTCTCTCTCTTTCTCTGTCTCTCTCTCTCTCTCTATCTCTCCCCCTCCCTCTCTCTCCCTTTCCTTTCTCTGTGACTTTCTCTCTCTCTCTCTTTGTCACTCTGTCTCTTTCTCTCTGTCTCTCTCTTTCTCTTTCTCTCTCTTTCTCTGTCACTCTTTCTCTGTCTCTGCCTCTCTCTCTCTCTCTCTCTCTCTCTCTCCTTTCTCTATGACTCTGTCTTTCTCTGTCTCTCTTTCTCTGTCACTCTTTCTCTGTCTCTGCCTCTCTCTCTCTGTCTCTGTCTCCCCCTCTCTCTGTCTCTCTGTGTCTCTCTCTTTCTCTCTCTCTCTCTCTGTGTCTCTCTCTCTACCTCTCTGCCTCTGTCTCTCTCTCCCTCTACACCTCTCTACCTCTCTCGCCGTGTTAGAATCAGCAGTTAGCTAACATTGGTGTTACTTTTTTCAATGGTGAAAAAAGTAAGGTTTTACATTTAGGTAAGAAAAACAAAACACACAGGTACCGTATATGTGGTACCTTGCTCAATAGTAGTAACTGTGAGATGGATCTTGGAGTCCTAGTGGACAACCATTTAAATAGGAGCCAGCCATGTGCAGCAGCTGCCAAAAAAGCCAACACAGTTCTAGGCTGCATCAACAGAGGGATAGAATCAAGATCACGTGAAGTGTTAATACCACTTTATAATGCCTTGGTAATAAGGCCACACTTGGAATACGGCATCCAGTTGTGGTCGCCACAATATAAAAAAGATGTGGAGACTCTAGAAAGAGTGCAGAGAAGAGCAACAAAGAGGATTAGGGGAAGATTGGAGGCTAAAACATATGAAGAACGGTTGCAGGAACTGGGTATGTCTAGTTTAATTAGAAGAAGGACTAGGGGAGACATGATAGCAGTCTTCCGAATATCTCAGGAGCTGCCCCAAAGAAGAGGGAGTCAAGCTACTCTCCAAAGCACCTGAGGGCAGGACAAGAAGCAACGAGTGGAAACTAATCAAGGAGAGAAGCAATTTAGAACTAAGGAGAAATTTCCTGACAGAACAATTAAATCAATGGAACGACTTGCCTCCAGAAGTTGTGAATGCTCCAACGCAGGAAGTTTTTAAGAAGAGGTTGGATAACCATTTGTCTGAAGTGGTGTAGGGTTTCCTGCCTAAGCAGGGGGTTGGACTAGAAGACCTCCAAGGTCCCTTCCAACTTTGTTATTCTATTCCTATGCTATGCTATGCTATGCTATGCTATGCTATGCTATGCTATGCTAACATCTGCAGTATTTCGACACTTGCCAGAAGCTAAAGAGATTGGCCACAAAAGTTTCATTTGTAGGAAGTGTTGGTCTAGCAGGCCGAATGTGGCTTTGTATCTGTTGAAGGATTCATGACTCACTTGCAACTTACTGTGTAGAACGCACATTTCTTGCCCCTGAGATGGCATCTCCTTTTCAGGAAGAAGAGGCCCTTGCAAAAATCAGAGCTAAAAGCAGCCATCAAAGCAGTTACCTGAAAAGTGCTTTTTGAATCATGGGATTGGATTCTCCTCTTCTCTTGGAAGCTGCAAAACAAAAATGCAAAAGATTCCGTTAGAGCTGAAATACTTACGCAGTCTTAATAGATTCCATTCTACATCAGACACTGTGTGCAATTTGTTTTTCTTTTTTTTTTTGCCAATAATCTGTTCCAAATCAAATGACACCGTTGCGAGATTGCTAAGAGAATATTCCTGTTTCTTTTCTGGCCTGGAAGACAGTTGAAATTTATGGCATTGCTATCTTTCTCATTGTTAAAGATATTTTACGAGAAGAGTCCTCCATTCCTCTAACCGCAATAAAATACCTTATGCCACCAGACTCCAAATTATGGACTTAGACAACTTAGAACTACGCCGACTTCAGTCTGACCTAAGCATAGTACATAAAATTATCTGCCACAATGTCCTTCCTGTCATTGACTACTTCAGCTTCAACCACAACAATACACGAGCAAATAATAGATACAAACTCAAAGTAAACCGCTCCAAACTCGATTGCAGAAAATACGACTTCAGCAACAGAGTGGTCAATGCCTGGAATGCACTACCTGACTCTGTGGTTTCTTCCCCAAACCCCCAAAACTTTACCCTTAAACTGTCTACTGTTGACCTCACCCCATTCCTAAGAGGTCTGTAAGGGGCCTGCATAAGTGCACCAGTGTGCCTACCGTCCCTGTCCTAATATTCCTTTTTACTTACTCTTTTCATCCATTCAAATTATGTTTATACTTTCACCTGTTATCTTATATATGCTTGACAAATAAAAGCTTATGACTTATGACTTAAGTTGATTCCTAAAAGAAAACATTTTGAAACATGTTCAGGTTCTTGAAGAAGTACGATATACTGAAGCAGGCTTGTTTACCAGTAAACCCAAGTTTATCTGTGGTTAATCTTCTATCTTCTAAGAGCCTTGGTAGTACAGGGGTTTAAGGCACCCTGTTATTAAGCTGGTTATTAAGACCAGCTGCCTGCAATTACTGCAGGGTTCGAATCTCGCCAAGGCTCCAGGTTGACTCAGCCTTCCATCCTTTCAAAGGTAGGTGAAATGAGGACCCAGTTTGTGGGGGCAATAAGCTGACTTTGTATAAATATACAAAAGGATGAAGGCTATTGCTGAGCACATTGTAAGCCGCCCTGAGTCTTCTGAGAAGGGCGGCATATAAATCAAATTAAAAAAAAAACAAAAAAACAGCAACCATTCATGATTCTGCGTTGCAGACACTGGACAAGGTATTACAAGAGAATTTTGCAGTCAACCAACTTCGTCCCAGGCGAGTGTAGACTGCTATCTTGAAGAAGACAATCCCAGTTCATCTGGGAAAATTCTAAACGTAAATTTAGAATTCAGAAGCATGCTCATATTTACCTGTGCTATTTTCTCTATATAAATTATTTTTTAAAGAAGAGGCCTTTAGACTTGGAATCACCAAAAACCCCACCCCCAGCCCCCGTTTAATCTTACTTTGTGGGAAGGCCTATCTTCAATTCAGTATGATGTTTCTTCCTGGCAAACAGAGGGTTCAAATTAGAATTTTATAAACATCTCAGCACAATAATATTGTGGAAAAATTGCCCTAAATATCCTAAAACCAGGAATCTGGAAGCATTTCCCACCCCCCAACTAACAAATGTTGTTAAACTTTTAAAAAGGGACTTGTCTGAAATGTTGTGCGGTCTCTTGCAAGGGGTTGGACTAGAAGACCTCCCAGGTCCCTTCCAACTCTTATTCTGTTACTAAAATGCAGGCAATTTTTATTTATCAGATGCATAGAGTTGCGGGAGTGATGTAGGGTTTAAATTGGGGGGGAAGGGGAAATGGGGGAGTGGGGAAAAGGGAAGACAGATTTTATGCAAGTGTAAGTTACATGTGACACAAGAACCCTGTTGGTTAGTAATGTGTTTGTTGTGCACATATTAGATTGCCTAAAAAAGGTTATTTGTTTGCTTTTAAGGTCTATTTTTTCTAAAAATTGTTATTTTGCAGCCTACCATGGTTGGGGCTATCAGACATCTTGAAAAAGCAGGAAACGTCATCCTTTTTATTATTTTTATTTTTTATCCTTTTTATTTTTTATTTTTATTCTTGATGAATGTATTTTATTCTCCTTATGTACACTGAGAGCTGTTCTGTCCTCCTCCCTTACATCAAAGGCACCACAGACAAAACATTAGAGCTCAGGATGCTACCACACAACCCATTACCCAGGTCATTACAACACAAAAGACTAATGGGCACACAGCCAGGACTTCGGCCACACAGGATGTTACGAAACAGCGGACTAATCTGCAAACATCAACTCCATCAACTAATCAAGATGTAACAACACAGCCAACCAACCCGCTTACAACAACAAAGCCAGCACTCCACACCTCCCCACCAGTATTTATAGAGATGACATCTCCGATCACGCTTTGCTCGCACATGCACGAAGCCGAAGACACCAGCCTGAAGATGACGAGTAGGACCTCGTTGAAACGTCACCAAGATACTCTCAATCTTACATGGGAATAGACCCGAATTCGCCAACACTTGCATACCTGTACCCGTGAAAATCTACGAATATATATATATATGTTTATATTATATATTATGAATTATATAAATGTATATATGTATATATAATTTATATATATATATATATTTATTATAAATTTTTATAAATTTATTAAAATAAACTTAAAATATAAAAAAAGATCTATATATCGATTTATAGATGTAGATATACAGATATATAAATTTATTTGTATCTAGAGCTAGATTTGTTTTTGTATTACTTTTTCTCCCTCTACTGTTTCAAAAAAAATTATATATAAAAAAATCCTCCTCGTAGTCTCGTAACCTGAAGCATTAAGCTTATTCTTCTTTTTCGCCTTGCCATATAAATTTCCTTATTGTCTTGTTTAAGTATTGAAAATAAGTCTTTTTTTTTATAATGTTTTTTTAAAAAAATTACATTTTTTTTTTTATTAAATAAAGGCCAAATATTTTTTAAAACAATAAAACAAAAAAAGATGGTTAGCACAAAACACAATGCACAAAACCTGACGGTATTAATCATAGTCTGTCAAGCTAACCAAATTAGTTGGGCTCACACTAAGCCACAAGCCATGGTTTACAACAACAAACCATATTATTGCTTTAACCAGGTAAGGAACTCAGCAGCAAACTACCAATATCATTTCATGTATCAACTACATCAAATAGATAAAACGAATAGTACTACAAGGATCTTATTTTGCAGGACATTGAAAAAAACAAGATGGCAGTCAGACCCCTGTTGAATCCTCATTTGTGGCTGCCATTTTGACTTTTTTGACCCACCATGACTTCTTGGCTTCATGGGAGAGCACCTTCCCCCTCATTTTGGTAAAGATATACATAGTAACTGCCTTTCATCCAAGACATTAGGGCCCACGCTTGCAATTCGCCATAGCTGCCATTTTGCTAAAAATCGCATTTCTTTAATCCAAAGGCCCAACGGAGCCCAGCCAAGGATCAACTGCTCTCTTCCTGTGCGTCACTAAGCCATCGTTTAGCCCAAATTGATCCCAAAAGCCACAATTGGCTGGGTTCACACATCATGACACCACATGCTCGAGTGGGGAGGTTTCCTTGCTCAGCCTAGCCAACATTGCAAACCATGGCTGAGGAGTCGGCTGGCTGGAGATGACCAGTAAACCATCATTGAAGCAGGCCGTGGCATAAGGCCACGGGAGGCCGTCGCACAGCTGGGCCCAGACCCATGGCAGCTTAGGCAGGATGGCGAACCATGGTCTGTTGGAAAGGCCTGTGAGAGACAGCCTAATGGCAGCCTAGCCAGGATGGCGAACCATGGTCTGTTGGAAAGGCCTGTGAGGAACAGCCCCATGGTGGCTTAGCCAGGATGGTGAATCGTGGTCTGTTGGAAAGGCCTGTAAGGGACAGCCTAATGGCGGCCTAGCCAGGATGGCAAACCGTGGTCTGTTGGAAAGGCCTGTGAGGGACAGCCTAATGGCGGCCTAGCCAGGATGGAGAAATGTGGTCCGTTGGAAAGGCCTGTAAGGGACAGCCTAATGGCGGCCTAGCCAGGATGGCGAACCATGGTCTGTTGAAAGGGCCTGTGAGGGACAGCCCCATGGCAGCCTAGCCTGGATAGCGAACCATGGTCTGTTGAAAGGACCTGAGGCGAAGAAACAAGAAAGAAAAGCAAAATCCAGCCACCTCGGACTGTCCTCCATTGACCTGCTGCACTGGGTCCAGTAAAGAGGCCGGAATCCTGGCTGGGCAGTTTGACCTTTTGCCCTGAATGACCACCACCAAGATGGAGGCCGAGCAGCCCGAGGCCAAAGGGGAGAGCCTGGGCAGCTTGCCTGCAGGGGCAGCCCCCAAACCAGCCCCTCAGCTGGGACCCAGGCCTGGCATGGCTGCCTGGCAGGTCTGGGGTTGCAAGAAGCTTGCCATGGCTAGGCCGGATGTACCCCCCCAAACTCCATTTGTGCCTGGGGGGGAAGATGGGGAGCCATCTCCCCATCTGCCCCATGGCACCCCTGCCCATCTGTGGGCGATGGGGGGCTCGGGATCAGGATCCCATTGGGGCATCCCACTGGCTTTTGATGGGCTGGGGCGAAGCCCAAAATGGCGTCACTTCGGTTTTGGCTGAGACTCCATCCTCCGGGATTGAGCTGAGCTAACTGGGTTTTTGCTCCCTAAACGATGGCTAAGCAAACCATTTAACAGATTAACCGAGTTGGAAGGGACCTTGCAGGTCATCGAGTCCAACCCCCTGCCCAAGCAGGAGAGACTACATCTGCCTCTACCTAGGATCGAACTCACAAACCTCTTGATCGTGAGGCAAGAACCATGGTTTAGCGAGTGCCTCGGTAGCTTCATGCTTATTTTTAATTTGCTCTTTGGGTGACTGTCCTGTTGTGGCGGCTGCCTGGCTTGGCTTGATCGATGCCTTTATTTTTTGGATTTTAAGAGTGTGGGTTTGCTGTGAATAGACAGCTTCGGCTGTTGCGGTTGAAATCTTTTGTTTAAATCAAAATTAAAAATTACGGGCTAGGCTTCTAATGTGCTTTGGAGCCTGGCAGCATTGAAAAACCAAGAGCCAAAATGGATGCAAAGGGTAATAAAAGTTATTTTAGGAAGGGAACAAGGAAGAGTCATTGTACCTCTTTAAATTCTTGGGATGATTTGAACCCTTAGCTGTGTGTTTTCCCAAGCAGAATTATTATACTTGATATTATTTCAGGCAGGAAGAGAGGGATGAGTTGATGGAGAGAGAAATGGAGATTTGGCTGGAATCCGATTGGGGAGAAAAATGTTATGTTTGAAAACAGGGTGGATTTGATTTAAATCGAGTTGATTTAAATCACAATTTAAATCACTAGTAAAAAGGCTTGATTTAAATCAACTCGATTTAACTCCTAATTTTTAAAGAGCAACTGTCATCTCTGCTACTCCTTTGACCCACTGTTGACTCACCGATAGTCCCAGTGTTGCAGAATATACAGCCTCATGCTACAGAACTAAGCTCCATTTCATGCTGAATAAACTAAATTATTTGTATCTTAAATAGAAAACTATTTTGCGATAGATTTTTACCCCAAAAGTTTTTTATTAAAATAAATTCGATTAAAATCAAAAAAATCCAATTAAAATAAAAAAAAATCTGATTTTTTTGATTTTTTTTTTAAAAAATCATTGATTTTTATCCACCCTGTTTGGAAGTCAATGCACAGAGCATTATCCCACATCCTGCTTTTCTTGGCTGGTTGATGGCAGGGACATTCAGCCTGGGGTCTCCGAGTGGCATGCAGCCCCCCCCCAGAACTATGGCATTGGCCCTCCAAAATTTCAGACCGTATGCTTAATGCAAAAGAACAAAATTAATAATTGCATGGGAATGAATCCCATTCGAGTAATTTAAATGAAATCCTTTGCCTTGATGAAGCTTGTATTTTATTGATATCTTCCGTTTGTTTTCCACCTTTTATCTACAATTCAAGGCGGCGTGTATGAAAAGTTGGCCCTAATTTTACCTCTTAACAGCAGCCCTGCAACGTAGGCAGGGTTTAAGACAAGTGAATACATGCCTTGGTCACGTCCTGCTGTATTTGCAACGTGTTCTGTACCAGATTGCTCCTGAAAACCATCCAGAAGCTTCAATTGAAAAATAACCGCAACAACGTCGTACGATTGAGTTGCGGGACTGGCGCGAAGTGCAATAAGTTCCATGGTGCAATAGGATTGGGTGTTTGCTAGCAGGATTCACCGGGATAGGGATTTTTTTGTTTTTCACTGTGAGTTGTATTGTGTTGGGGTGGGGGTAGGAGTGCACGAAGGGCAGCTCAGCCAATCTCATAGCACACATGTTGTACTCTGACAATAAAGGGTTGAATTCGAAATTGAAAATCTGAAATTTTCAAAGTTCAGTTTAATAACGCCTCGTTGCTGTAATTTACAACCAAAATGCAAAAAACACGCGGACTCCACAATGGCTGCAAAATGAAACAAGTGTTGCTGGCTAGAAGTTACCCTCCAACTGAGGTAGAGCCGAACTATCTTAATCTTGGATTTTATTTACACGCATAGGAAGATTACCTTGAACGACTCTTAAAATAACGTGTTAGGCCAAGAACTTCAAAAATGTTTATTCTGTGCAAAAACTAAAAGGGGAAGAAGGGAAAAAAATAACCCTCTGCTCAGAAAGCAAACCAATTTTCTGATTCCAGATAGGAACCTTGTTCATGTGTTTGCTATTTTATGTGTCCTTGGCAAAGCGGGACTGTTCATGACTATTTCTCTCCTCAAAAATAACATTTCTCCATCCAAGACTGGGGATCTAGCTTACCGTCTCACTGACGCTGGTACGGTGGGTGTGACAAAGACAAAAACTGAATGGAATCAAACATTTACACGTCTTTTCAATAGAATTTCCCTAAAGAAATCAGGGTACCGTAGACCCAGTTCTGATTAGTTCCGTTTTGGAGAGGGCAAAGCCCCAAAGAATCAGGAATTCCAATGTTGTCCATCTCCAACGTGAAAGATCCATCTTTAAAGTCCCAGGTCCACTTTCCAAGGCTGCGTTGTGAAATGCTAGCCCAAAACGAGATGGGCTCTTCTATTCCCGTCGTGCTTTCTTGCTTTTCTTCTTTTCTGATTTTACTGCCGCATCGTGAGCTTTCCGTTTCTCTGCCAATTTGTTGGCCTGAAAAAAGAAGAAGAAGAAGAAGAAGAAGAAGAAGAAGAAGAAGAAGAAGAAAATTGCTAAGTCCAATTCTCACAGAGAAGTTCCTTGAAAGATGGGGCTCCGACAAGAGTCCCAAAAGCTCGGAAGACAAAACCTCTGGTCCCGATGACCGATCCAGATTGGATCCTGCAACATTATCCTAGGACAGTGATGGTTAACCTTTTCGTCGTGTGCCAAAAGTGGGGGGAGTACAGGGGGGTTGCGCGTGTGTGTGCCCACACCCATAATTCAATGCCCCCCCATCCCGTCCACCTGTGCATGTGCACACGACCCCCCCTTCATGCTTCCCCCGCTTTTGGCACACGACGGCAAAAAGGTTACCTGTGGGCCTGCTAGGCCCGTTTTTCGCCCTCCCCAGGCTCCAGAGGCTTTTTTGGAGCCTGGGGAGGGCGAAAACAGCCTTCCCCACCCCCCTGGAGGCCGGAAACAGCCAATTTCCCAACTTCCGGTGGGCCCGGAAGGCCCAAAACTCAGCTGGCCGGTGTGCGCATGCACGCTGGAGCTGACCTAGGGCAACGCTCACGTGCCCAGGGATATGGCTTCGCGTGCCACAGGTTTGTCATCACGGTCCTAGGACATGGATAGAGAATTCATTCATAATTCTCACAGTTCCCAAAGAACCTCAGGAGGGAAAGAAACTGAGCAGAGCAAAAAAAAAAAAAAAAGAAAGAAAAAAAAAAGATACCTCTCTAATTTTGCGCTTCTTCCCAAACATTATTTTTTGGTAGAGGTATTTCTCTCGTTTCTTCATCATCATGATGGCCAAGCGTTTTTCCTCGCTCTGCTGTTCTTGCATCAGCCGCTCCTTATCTTCCTTCACAATCTGGCCAGGTGTCACCTTCACTGGGAGATTCTGAGACAAGAGGAAATTTCGCACTCAAAAGATAGTTTCAGTTAACCCGGAGAACAAAACCTTTAGGAAAACTTTCCCAAGTCAATGCTAGGCTTGATTTTAATATAATATAATAAATATAATAAATATAATATAAAGTTGTTAAGTTAAGTTAAGTTAAGTTAAGTTAAGTTAAGTTAAGTTAAGATAATATACTGTGTTTCCTCAAAAATAAGACCGGGTCTTATATTAATTTTTGCTCCAAAAGACGCATTAGGGCTTATTTTCTGGTTAGGTCTTATTTTGGGGGGAAACACGGTACTAAAGGCAGCCATCTTAACTCGGGTTTATTTTTGAGGTGGGGCTTATATTACGAGCATCCTGAAAAATCATGCTAGGGCTTATTTTCCGGTCAAATCTTATTTTCGGGGAAACAGGTTAATATACCAAGGTTGCCCCCAAAATAAGACATCCCCTGATAATAAGCCCAATCGGGCTTTTGAGCGCATGGCAATAAGGCCAAGCACTTATTTCAGGGTTCAAAATAAATATAAGATAGGGTCTTATTTTCGGGGGAACACGGTAATTAATATTATACAATTAATATTATATAATTAATATTATACACACACTTACTGGGTCACTCTGAGATTGACATCAGTTCTCATACGGTGAACAGATTTCATAAAGAACTACAAAATATAGGTAATCCTCAACTTACAGCGGTTCATTTAGTGACTTGCTCAAAGTTACACCGGCACCTGTAACCCTTATTTTTTTTACTATGACTGGATTCAATCAACGTCCTACCACTTTCTGACTTCATAAATAAGCATCTTTTAGGATACCTTGTTCTGAGATCGCTGTGCTTCCATTTTGCGCAGTTTCCCTTCATCTTCCTTGTCAGAATCCTCCTCTTCCTCCTCCTCTTCTTCCTCCGAGCCTTCAGTTGCACCTTCATCCTCTCCGCCGCTCTCTTCTTCCTCTTCCGACTCACTATCTTTGGCTACTGAAAAGATCCAAACCGTGTTAAAGTTGTTGCTGAGAAACCCCAGAAGGTATTCTCAGCTCACCCAACCTCTAAAAATGCAACAGGTTCGCCAGAAACCCAGGAGCCGCTGGATACCTGGTTTTTCACCCCGTTGCAAGGCCAAAAGTTTCAGCTTCTCTGGAGGCATGTAGTCCCCTTCTTTCTCCGAGACAAACGGGGAGAGGTGAGGGGGCAGTATTACGCCGGGGAAGTAATCGGCCACGGGAAGGCATATCTTGGCATTGACCGAGTCAAAGACCCACTGAGGCTGGAGGTAATATCTGGGGAGAAAGGAAAGCCAATGAGAAGTGGGCGTATTAGAATGTCAAGTTGTACATTGCGGTGGCGCAGTGGTTAGAGTGCGGTACTGCAGGCGACTTCTGCTGACTGCCGGCTGCCTGCAATTTGGCAGTTTGAATCTCATCAGGATCAAGGTTGACTCAGCCGTCTGTCCTTCAGAGGTCAGTAAAATGAGGACTCAGATTGTTGGGGGCAAGAGGCTGACTCTAAAGCGCTTAGAGGGGGCTGTAAAAGCACTATGAAGCGATATATAAGTCTAAGTGCTATTGCCCCCACTTCCTTCCTCCCCTCCCTCTCCTTTCCTTCCTTCCCCCCTCCCTTTTATCCTTCCTTCCTTCCTTGTGGTTAGAATGCAGCCTTGCAGGCTAATTCTGCCGACTGCCAGCAGTTCAATTCTGACCGGTTCAAGATTGACTCAGCCTTCCTTCCTTCCTTCCTGTTAGAATGCAGTATTGCAGGCTAATTCTGCCGGCTGCCAGCAGTTCGATCCTGACCGGCTCAAGGTTGACTCAAGCTTTCTTAAAATCTGATGTCCGTTTTCTTGCCTACCAAAGGGCAGAGTTCTCACCTTCCAATCACTTGCTTCTCTACATTTGGACGGTCCACTATCTGGTGGGTGATGCGGGGGTCCGTAACATCGTAGGTGGCGCCAATGCAAACAGACTTGTCCCAGGACACTTTGCCGCCAAAGCACCTGGTGAAGGAGAGGTGGGGTTAAGCCAGATCTAATGACAGGTTTTACATTCAAATGCACATTTACCGTATTTCTCGGAGTATAAGATGCACCTTTTTCCCTCCTAAAAGGGGGTGAAAATTCAGTTGCATGTTACACTGAATGTAGCCCCGCCTACCCACTGGCCCCCACCCTTTGGCCTCTGCCTCCCAGCGGTTTACCTCCTTGCAGCAAGCAGAAACAGCTCCTTTCAGCTTCAGCACAGGCTAATTAGCACAAGTTGATTGAATCGGCAAAGGCTTACACACCTGATGACAAAGGCTAAGGGTTCGCGAGGCACCTCCCGGTTGAGAAAGAACTGCAGCCCTTCGAAGAGCTTCTTCTGTTTCTCCAAGTCCTCTTCCTCCTTCCTCCTGGTCTCTTCTTGTTCTGCAGTCTCCTAGGTAGAGAGAGAGAAAAAGCTCTATCGACCCCCTTCTCCGTGTTGGAAAGGTTATAAATCTATCTATCTAATTCCTTCTATCTATCTATCTATCTATCTATCTATCTATCTATCTATCTATCTATCTATCTATCTATCTAATTCCTTCTATCTATCTATCTATCTATCTATCTATCTATCTATCTATCTATCTTATCTATCTTTCATCTATCTATCATCTATCTATCTATCTATCTATCTATCTATCTATCTATCTATCTATCTATCTATCATCTATCTATCTATCTATCTATCATCTATCTATCATCTATCTATCTATCTATCTATCTATCTATCTATATCTATCTATCTATCATCTGTCTATCATCTATCATCTATCTATCTATCTATCTATCTATCTATCTATCTATCTATCTATCTATCATCTATCTATCTATCTATCTATCTTTCATCTATCTATCATCTATCTATCTATCTATCTATCTATCTATATCTATCTATCTATCTATCTATCTATCTATCTATCTATCTATCTATCGTGTTTCCCCAAAAATAAGACGCTGCCTTATATTTTTTTGAACCCTGAAATAAGCGCTTGGACTTATTATCAGGGGATGTCTTATTTTGGGGAAAACAGGGTATCTCATCTCAAAGTACAGTCTCCCCAACATCCTGTCTCTTGGGAAGGTATTTTCCTTTGACTCCCCAAAAAATGGGGGGTGTCACTCACCCCTTCCACGGGGAACTCATCCACTTCGGCTTCATCCTCTATGTTGGGGGCAACGACTCGAGCCAGGCTGGTGCTGAGAGCCGACAGTTTCTAAGGGAGGGTAAAAGAAAGAGAACCATGAAATTGATGGGCGACTTGATCCAAGTCAACTTAAGCGAAGCACGCAGCTCATGTAGATACCCAGAATGGAAGCAGGCTGGCTGGGGAATTCTGGGAGTTGAAGTCCAAAGTCCAATGTTCCTTAAGGAAGGACGTGGAGGAAAATTTGGAAGGATAGGATTGGGCATCCGTGTTCTCACCTCTAAGGTGCTCTCGGAGTCCAAGGCGTAAGCTTCTCCATCCTCCGGCTTCTTCTCTACTGAAGAATGGCCTTCGATCTAAAAGAACAGAACACGGATACGGCAGTGGTGAAATGTAAAATTTGTTACTACCAGTTCTGTGGGCGTGGCTTGGTGACTGGGTGGGCGTGGCCAACTTTTTTCCCCCCTTTTCTTTTAAAAGCATTTTTTTCTACCACCTCTTCGGCCGAAGAGGTTGCAGGAAAAAAAATGCTTTTAAAAGCCTCTGACGATCGGGCAACTCAGCTGGGATCGTCAGAGGCTTTTAAAAGCATTTTTTTTCTACAACCTCTTTGGCCGATTTTAAAAGCCTCTGACGATCCCAGCTGAGCCGCGCAATCATCAGATCCTTTTTTTTTTCTTTTAAAAGCATTCTTTTGGCAGAAGAGGTTGAAGAAAATGCTTTTAAAAGTAAAAAAAAAGCCTCTGATGATCACGCAATTCAGCTGGGCATGGAGGGGGGGGGAGCACAGGGATTTTTGCTACCGATTCTCCGAACCACCCACTACCATTGCTACCGGATTGGGCGATCCGGTCCGAACCGGGAGCATTTCACCCCTGGAATACGGGGAGGTAGTCCAGACAGGCCACTCAAACTACGAGGGATAAACACGACTGTTATTTTAAGGTTACAGTCCCAGACCCTTGCAAACATTTTTTGGGAATATTTCTTTTTTTAAAAAAAGGAAGTGTTGGGTACGGCTTAATATGAAAAAAGGAAGTTGGAATCAGTTACAGATAGACCCTGAATAACAGTTCTGTTTAGTGACTGTTGTGAAGTTATGACAGCACTGGAAAAAGTGACGAACGGAACAGAATAAAACAGAACACTTAACAACTCGTGTTGCAACGATTCACTTAACAACTAGGTCAAGAAAGGTCGTAAAATGCACTTAACTAATGTCTCTCTTAACAACAGAAATGTGGAGCTCAACTTTGGTCATAAATCGAGGACTACCTGTACTGAAAGACCCCTGTTATCGAAGAGCTGGGTCACTTGGAGTTCCTTTCCAATTCCTTCTCCTTTCCTTGGGCATCAATAGTGCTTTGCCAATGGCCTGGCCTATTATTATTATTTTTTTAGGCCGTCTCTGTGTGTGTGTCTCTCTCTCTCTCTATCTGGGTAAGTTGCTCGTTAAGAAGATAAACTGGGCTTCTCAGTAGCTTGTCTGCTTCACTCACCTTCGGGGGATAGTGCAAGTTGAGTGTCTGGTAGAGACGAAAATTGACAAAGCCAAGAAGGGTGGTGTAGAATTCAGTGAAGGTAGCCATGACCCTATAATCCACATCTGTCGGGTGCTGGAAGAAAGTCAATCAATCAATCAATCAATCAATCAATCAATCAATGTGCAGAAACTTTTTAAATCTAACTCCCAGTTCTATTTATTTTTTTTATTTTTTTTGTAAACAGGAATATATATATATATTTTAAAGGAAGACCACAACAATACACGAGCAAATAATAGATACACACTCAAGGTAAACCGCTCCAAACTCGATTGCAGAAAATACGACTTCAGCAACAGAGTGGTCAATGCCTGGAATGCACTCCCTGACTCTGTAGTTTCTTCTCCCCAAACCCCAAAACTTTAACCTTAAACTGTCTACTGTTGACCTCACCCCATTCCTAAGAGGTCTGTAAGGGGGCGTGCATAAGTGCACCAGCGTGCTTACGGTCCCTGTCCTAATATTTCTTTTTACTCTTACTCTTTTCATCCATTCAAATTATGTATATACTTTTACCTGTAATCTTATATATTCTTAATAAATAAATAAAAATAAAAAGTGTTGGGTATGACTTAATATTTAAAAGGAAGTTGAAGTATGTCCCCCTGAGACCACCACCAGAAGGGGCCATGATTTCGCGGGCTGCCTGCATTCCCGCGGATGGGACTTTGTTTGTTTGTGTGGACTGGTTTCTGGCATGCCGAGGACCCCCGTTCTAAGCTATCCTTCCCAGATCAGGTGGGAAGTTTGATGGCCTTCTCAAAAGTTCACCAGGTGCAACGGCCAGCTCTCCTGCACACCTGGGTTAATCTTTCGGGACACGTGTATGAATATGCATTTCTACGGTTAACACAAAATGCAAGGTCGACCTTCAAGGCAGCCTGTAAATCAGGGACTAGAGCAGGCAGCTTTCTGGGTCACCTGTCAATCTGCATAACCTTCCAAGGCTTAGGTCAAAGACACAGCTTTATCTTACAAAGTCCCGAATCTGATTTTCCAGTACGGAAGTTTGTCATTGCTCTAACTCTCGAGAGAATTGGGACTGAAATTGGAATGTTGGTTTGTTAAGTCATTGCAGTTTGTTAAGTCAAGGCACCAGGAGACTGGACTTCATTTTATGACAGTTTTTAACAACAGTTGTTAAGCGAGTCATCACGGTCAATTAAGTGAACTATACAGTTGTAAGTATGAACCCACTTCATTCAATGGACTTTTTTTTTTTTTGCTGGAAAATGCAATCGTGTGACACTGCAATCGGTTGCATATGTGAGGTGAGTTGCCAGCACCCAAAATACAATCAGGAGAGCGTTTGGGGTGGGGTGGCAGTTGAAAGTTCAAGGTCATAAGTAACTTTTTGGGGAATTTTTGCTTTGAATGTTCATTTATTGGCCGTCATAAGTCAACCTGCATAAAGTAAGTTTACACGTGCAATACTTAAGATCCTAAAGTTGATAGAATTTTTATTTACTTACTTTTAAGACTTTTAAGCTTTCTAAATAACATTGACGTTCATAATTGGCAATTAATTTACATAAAGATTATTGCAGCGGAACCTGTGGCTGAAGTAATGAAATATATCAAGATTGATCACATCACAATCAATGGAAAAAAGAGATCTTACAGGCACAAGAAGGGATGCCTGGGTCGGTGATCATTAAGAAGCAAAATATAACGTTGTTTTTTTTAAAAAAAGAGAGAAATGCTTTGTAAATAAGCAAAGACAGTGCTCTGTGTCCAAGCAACTGGCTTCTAACAATGAAACTCCATGCTTAGAGTTAATTGTTAATTGCCATTTTCACCTTGGGGTTTTTTTTTTAAAAAAAAAAGTTAATGATTTCCTTCCCACGAGAACACTGAACACTAAACACCAAGCATGAGAGTTCGGCACACAAAAAAACAGGAAGGAATCTGCCTTCTGGTCAAGAATGCCTAATTCTGTTCAGGTACATAACAGAGTTGGAAGGGACCTTGGAGGTCTTCTAGTCCAACCCCCTGCTCAAGCAGAAGATCTTATACCACTCCAGACAAACAGCTGTCCAGTCTCTCTTTAAACACCTCCAGTGATGAAGTACCCACAACTTCTGGTGGCAAGTTGTTCCACTGGTTAATTGTTCTCACTGTCAGGAGTTTTCTCCTTAGTTCTAAGTTGCTTCTCTCCTTGATGAGTTTCCACCCATTGCTTCTTGTCCTGCCCTCAGGTGCTTTGGAGAATAGCTTGACTCCCTCTTCTTTGGGGCAACCCCTGATATTAAACGATATTAAACAGCCCTATACTCACGTTGTGGGAGAAGGCATAGGGCGTTATCCAGGTGACAAGCTGGCCCAGCACCTCAGCCTGGTAATAGATGCCCTTAATGGAGAGAAAAACCTGAGGGAAAGCAGAGAAAAACAAACTCAAGTCAGGAAAACAACCCAAGAGCCTAAAATTGCAGACAGGAAAGAAATGACTAGCACAGGGTTGGTAAATCTTTTGGGCTCAGGCGTGTCAATAATTCAAAAATAATAATAATGCCTAACTCTGCTGGCGTGTTACCCTTTTTCCCATGAGCAAAACAGAAATAATGCTTTTCAGTCACTTATTTATTTATTTATTTTTTTAAAATACAATCCAATTGTGTGTGTGACACATTCACCCACCCCCAGGATCGATGCCACTTTTGTTAGGGCAGTGTTCCCTTTCGGTTGACACGCTCTGCAGCCTGCCCGTGCCTTCTCCGAGGCCCACGAGGCCTTCGTTCTTGAAGTGGCTTCCGGGAAATCCGTGGCCTCCGAACACCTCACAAATATATGACTTTCGAATGCTCCAGAGGCCGCACAGAAGCCTGGCCCTGTCACGTGATTTTTGGAAGCTGCACAAGAGCGCATCCCTATTCGTGCATGGCCTCCAAAAGCAACACGAAACCACGAGCTTTGGCGAATAAGAGCCTTGGTAGTACAGTGGTCTAAGGCACCCTGTTATTAAGCTGGTTATTAAAACCAGCTGCCTGCAATTACTGCAGGTTCGAATCTCGCCAAGGCTCAAGGTTGACTCAGCCTTCCATCCTTTCTAAGGTAGGTGAAATGAGGACCCAGTTTGTGGGGGCAATAAGCTGACTTTGTATAAATATACAAAAGAATGAAGGTTATTGCTTAACGCATTGTAAGCCACCCTGAGTCTCCGGAGAAGGGCGGCATATAAATCAAATTAAAAAAAAAAAAAAAGTTGTTGTTGAACACTGATGTACCGCTCGAAACATCATGGCGTGTCAGCTTAAAAACGTGTGTCATAGGTACGCCATCTGTGGATTAACAGCTCCGTTGACTTAATACTCTTGGCATGTATTCATCATCATCATCATTTAATGATCCCATAATCCATTGCGGGGTGGAGTTTGGGCAACCGAATGGAGCTAGCAGAGTGTTTACTGGCCGGATGCCTTTCCTGTCGCCAATGCGGAGTTTTGTTCAGCAGATATATTTCTCATAGTTCTGAGAAATATCTGCCTCTACCTAGGATCGAACTCACAGCCTCCTGATTTGAGGCGAGAGCTCCACCTCTAGGCCACCGCACCACTCTTATTGTCTTGGCATGTATTCATCATCATCATTTAATGACCCCATGGAGTCTGGGCAACTGAATGGAGCTAGCAGAGTGTTGGCCGGATGCCTTTCCTGTCGCCAATGCGGAGTTTTTGTTCGGCAGATATATTTTCATTGTGCCCAGAGAGAGAAATATCTGCCTCTACCTAGGATCGAACTCACAGCCTTCTGATTGTGAGGCGGGATCTCCACCCCTAAGCCACTGCACCACTCTTATTCTCTTGGCATGTATTGATCCGAGGGAAATCCATCAGCACTGGCGTCTCCAAAGGGGCCCTTCCCAGCTCACCTTGCGAAGACCGCGCGAGCGACGACGTAGTTGAGGGAACTCCACGGTCAGCCGACGACATAGCTGGATGGTCTGGACGTGACACTTGCCGTCCGTGGGAAGGTGGAAAAGAGGACGCACATGGAGAGCGCATCGTCCAAATCTCGCAGGGCGTCCACGAAGGTTGGGTATCTGCAGCCATTTGAGAAGAAGACAAGTTCAAGCACCATCTGCCTCTCTAGACGCTTGTGGGAGAGGAGTTGCAAGTATCATTGCGGCTTCCTGCTATTAGGGCTTAATCTAACAACAGGAGTTGCCTCAAATCTGTCATGCAACCTTGCTTAACCAGGTTTTGTTGAACGAACAGTAATTGTCTGGATAGCCACTCAAGTCTAAGCAAAATTTTATACATACCATATTTTTTGGAGTATATAACGCACTTCCATCCCCTCCCTAAAAGAGGGTGAAATTTTGAGTGTGTCTTAAACACCGAATGTAGCCAAAAATGTGAGGCACGGAGGCAGCGATGGTCTGTGGCAATCCCTGCAGCCTGGAACAACTGATTGGAGACCGATCCACCCACCAATCAGCTGCTCGTGCTGAATCAGGCGGCAATAATATGCTGAAGCTCAGCTGCCGTTTGCTATTTGATGCAAGGACTCAAAAGAGTTTGCAACAGCAATCCCATCCAGAAAGCACGCACAAATAACTGATTCAGCAGGATTCAATAACTTCTCTTTATATACAATATAACACATGAAGTAAATATACAATACCAAAAGCCAGGTTTTCCAACATGGTAGTAAATACAAGCAAAACACAAGCAGAGGAGAGGAGTTTCAGTTTCAGTTTTGAGCAGCAGACTAGTTTAGAGCTCAGCACAGACTCAGAGCTAAGCCACGCCCAGGCTCCTTGCTGTCTCCTTCCTTGTTGCTCACACAAGCAAATACTGTTTCAGTTTCCAAACAGCCCTCAACTCTCTCACACACTGACAGGACGCTAGCCAGACGAATACCGATGGATGCTGGTAGGCAGAGGCAGAATTTCTTTTTCTTCTTATTTTCCTCCCCAAAAACTAAGGTGCGTCTTATACTCCGAAAAATACAGTCATTGCAACCCTAGAATTCCCAGACAATCGTCTGAAAACTGCTCCTTTTCCCCTCCCAAAGCCAGGAGAGATTATTGATCTTGAGGGTTTTCAACTCTTACCTCTCTTTGATGATGTGGTCCAATTTATAAGCCGGCTTGTTGTCTTTCAGGCGCTGCACTGTGTTCCATTCGCTCTTCCCGTAGGCTTTTCGCAACTTGCGGACAAACACCTTATGGGGAGAGAAATATTTTACAGCCCCACATTTCCCAATGTCCAGGCCACAATTCTAAGAGGCTGGGCTGCTATCCACCAGCATGTTTCCTTCCTCTTCTTCAACAAGGAGACCCAGAGTCTTTGGCTTGTTTTCTTTTATACCAGGGGTGTCAAACTCGTGGCCCCCGGACCGGATGTGTCCACGCGGCGGCCACACCGACTCCCCATTTTAGCCAAGGGGGAAAAAAGTTGCGATACGTCACGTGATGACGTGAGTTTGACGCACCTATTTATGCTACCCTGTTTCCCTGAAAATAAGACATCCCCTAAAATAAGCCCTCCCCGAAAATATTTAAACGCAGAGCTGGAAATCAGGTAGGATGGCAAGAGGAGCCCCATCTTGCTCCACACGCCCCAAAATAATAAGACCTCCCCGAAAATAAGACCAAGAGCTTATTTCGGGGTTCAAAAAAATAAATAAGATAGGGTCTTATTTTGGGGGAAACACGGTAAGCATATATCTTTTACGTATTATTTTTTCACTTCTCTTATGACCGTATTAAAAATACTGCTCTATTTCACAGACGTCAAATGCTTTAAACTTCTCACCCAGAACGCTAGATTTTAAGGCTGGATAAAATGATCCCAAGAGTCCCTTGGACTGCAAGGCGATCCAACCGGTCAGTCCTGGAGGAGATCAACCCTGACTGCTCTTTAGAAGGCCAGATCCTGAAGAGGAAACTCAAATCCTTTGGCCACCTAATGAGAAGGAAGGACTCCCTAGAGAAGAGCCGAATGCTGGGAACGACTGAGGGCAAAAGAAGGGGACAGCAGAGAAGGAGGTGGCTGGATGGAGTCACTGAAGCAGTCGGCGTGAGCTTCAATGGACTCCAGAGGATGGTAGAGGACAGGAAGGCCTGGAGGAACGTTGTCCATGGAGTCGCGATGGGTCGGACACGATTTCACGACTAATAACAACAAAATGATCTTAAATTAACTTTGCCACTGACGCCCTGAGTTGCAAGTGAAAACTGTGCCGATCAAATAATTAACACAGGGAGAAAAAGCATTCCAGGAGCCTTGGTAGTACAAGGGTTTAAGGCACCCTGTAATTAAGCTTATTAAGACCAGCTGCCTGCAATTACTGCAGGGTTCGAATCTCGCCAAGGCTCCAGGTTGACTCAGCCTTCCATCCTTTCAAAGGTAGGTGAAATGAGGATCCAGTTTGTGGGGGCAATAAGCTGACTTTGTATAAATATACAAAAGGATGAAGGCTATTGCTGAGCACATTGTAAGCTGCCCTGAGTCTTCGGAGAAGGGCGGCATATAAATCAAATTTTAAAAAAAATTCCAGTAAGTGGCAGAACAGCAATTTTTGAAGTGCCAATCACTCCCACCCACCCCGTCCAAAGTGGCTGTTACGCCCAGAGGTTCATCTGCAGCTTTTAATCAGTTCCGGGGTGCCCCCCCCCAAATCGTGATACCTTATAGTCCCGGAATTTGTTGACAATGGGCTCATGGAGAAGAAATTTTATGTCTTTCAAGAGGTAAAACGTCCGGGCGGCTGTTGATCCCTTGTTCACCTTCTTCTTGTGTTTGGGCTCGTGGGGATAAATCCCTTTTAGGATGCAGAGTCGCCTGGAAAAACGAAAACGGGTGAGAAGACGGATTCAATTTGCTACCTTAAAGTCTTGGCTGGCTTCACATTTAAAGATGGGGATGCAGTCTTGTGAGTCCACCGTTAAATTGGGGGTGGCGGCAGCCGCCAAAAAACTCAACGACCAAATGACAATCTGAATCATGGATTTATATATCTTGGCAATCTCCTAACTTTTGGATAGTGAAATGGGCAGCACCATCAGGCGTTGCCCCGAAGAAGAAGTGGGGTGGTAGTGGTCCATCTATTCTCCAAAGCAGCTGAAAGGCAGGATAAGAAGCAACGGATGGAAACTAAGCAAGGAGAGAAGCAACCTAGAACTAAGGAGGAATTTCCTGATAATTAGAAAAATTAACCAGTGGAACAGCTTGCCACCAGAAGTTGTGGCTGCTCCATCACTGGAGGCTTTTAAAAAGAGGCTGGACAAGCATATACATTTCATAAATAATTAAAACAAGCATCTTGTGTGAACTCAACCATCACTTAAGCCCAGCATGATCCTTACCCAATATTTCTCGGTCTCCAAATTTGCCGCATCTCCTCACCCTCTCCCCCCTCCACCCCACTTCAGTTTCTACTCCATTCCAGCAAAGGCATCACCTGCACCTTCCCTGCACAACCAGAGCAAGTGACACCCACAGTAGACTACTCAAAATCTCTTGGCCATACCTGAAGTCTGGAAGGCTGAGCTGCAGTTTCTTCCGAGCTTTATTTCTGGTGATATAGTTGGTGGCTGAGCCCCTCTCGTACTTTCGTAGACGGGCAGGGAAAAAAGAGAGACAAAGCAGTTAATTAGCTCTGGCCTGCCAATAACTTATCGCCTTACTGGATGTGGAGCCTCCCAGATAGGCTGCAGCTCCTTGACTGGCACATTTGCCCGGCTGGAAGATGCCAGGCAAAAAGGCCCTCCAAGGATTGATGTCATGATCTATGACCGACCAACTCAGGAAGCTCAAACTGCCCAAGGAGCTGCTGATCCAGTTCTACAGAGGAATGATGTCATCTGCACCTCTCTATAACTGTCTGGTTTGGCTCTGCAACCCAACAAGACAGACACCGACTTCAGAGGATCATTAGAACTGCAGAAAAAACAATGGCTGCCAACCTGCCTTCCATGGAGGACCTGTATCCTGCACGAGTCAAAAAGAGGGCTGGGAAAATATCTACAGACCCCTCGCATCCTGGACATAAACTGTTTCAACTCCTACCCTCAAAACGAGGCTATGGAGCACTGCACACCAGAACAACTAGACACAAGGACAGTTTTTTCCCCCGAACGCCATCACTCTGCTAAACAACTAATTCCCTCAACACTGTCAAACTATTCACTAAGTCTGCACTACTACTAATCTCATCATTCCCACCACCCATCTCCTTCCACTTATGACTGTATGACTGTAACTTTGTTGCTGGTATCCTTAAGATTTATATTGTTTCCTAGTATGATTTGATTGCTTATTGTTTCCTATGACTATCATTAAGCGTTGCACCTTATGATTCTTGATGAACGTATCTTTTCTTTTATGTACACCGAGAGCATATGCACCAAAGACAAATTCCTTGTGTGTCCAATCACACTTGGCCAATAAAAAATTCTATTCTAATTTTCCCCTATTCTATTCTATTCTATTCTAGTCTCTATTCTATTCCCTATCCAATTCCCAATCCTAAATCCTAATCCTATTCTACTCTACTTCTATTCTATTCTTTTCTATTCTATTTTCTACCCTCTCCTAAATTCCTCTCCTCTCCTAAATTCTAATTTATATTCTATTCTATTATTCTATTCTATTCTACTCTCTATTTTCTATCCTATCCTAAATTCTATTCTATTCTATTTTCTATCCTATCCTAAATCCTCTTTCTCTCTCTCTATTTACTCTACTTCTATTCTATATATTTTCTATTCTATTTTCTATTCTATTCTATCCTATCCTAAAATCCTCTTCTCTCCTATCCTCTATTTACTCTATTCTACTATTCTTTTCTATTTTCTATTCTATTTTCTCTCCTATCTAAATTCCTTCCTCTTCTAAATTCTATTCTATTTTTTCTACTCTATTTTCTATCCTATCCTAAATTTCCTCTCTCTTCTAAATTCTATTCTATTTTACTCTACTCTCTATTTTCTATCTATCCTAAATTCTCTTCTCTCCTCTCCTCTATTCTACTCTACTTCTATTCTTTTCTATTTTCTATTCTATTTTCTATCCTATCCTAAATTCCTCTCCTCTTCTAAATTCTATTCTATTTTATTCTACTCTCTATTTTCTATCCTATCCTAAATTCTTATTCTATCCTATCCTAAATTCCTCTTCTCTCCTCTCCTCTATTCTACTCTACTTCTATTTCTATACTATTTTCTATTCTATTTTCTATCCTATCCTAAATTCCTCTCCTCTCTCCTCCTAAATTCTAATTTCTATTCTATTCTCCTATTCTAGTCTACTCTCTATCCTATCCTAACTTCTTATTCTATTCTTTATTCTATTTTCAATCCTATCCTAAATTCTTACTCTACTCCCTATCCTATCTATCGTCCTAACCTAACCTAACCTAACTTCTTATTCTATTCTATTCTTTTCTATTTTCTATCCTATCCTAAATCCTTATTCTATATTCTTATTCGACCCTCCCCCCCCAGAGGCGACTCGCAAGATGCGTGTCGGGAGGCGGCTAAACCCGGAAGTGGCGTGTCTGCATTCAGACGTTCTTTCCAATACACGTGAACAAAAAAAAGAACCGTGAACGCTTTTTTTTTTCCCCCAGGGCGGCTCAGTGACAGCCGCCGAGGCTCCGCTTTTAGCTCCACGCCCTTTGCGGTACCTTCTTTTTCTCCAGGCCGCCCATCGTGACCGACCCGCCGCTTCTCCCCCTCCGCCTTCTGCCCACGTGGTGGATGGAGAGGCTTCCTGGCCGGGCCTTTAAGCCCCGCCCCTTCCGCCCTCGGGAATCCCGCCCCTTCCGCTCCTCGGAGGGGTTGTCCACGTTAGTGCCTGAACGGGAGTCCGGAGAGGCCGCTCTATGGGCCTCGGGAGCGGACGGTTGTAAACTCCGCGAGGCAGGAAGATGTGCTTTATTCCCGGGGTTGATCAAGCCGAGAAAATCTCCCCGGAGCCCGCTGTTCCGAGCAGGCACCAAAGTAGAAGGTCGGAGAGGGGTCCTTTGGAGAAGGGTCCTCTCTGAGGGTGGGGAGGGAGCGTGATGGGGATTGGCTGTCCGGGATAAAGAGGAGGCGCACGAAGCCGAGTTTTTCCGCGTCTCTCTGCTGCCCCCTGGAGGCTTCTTCATGGACCGGGCTTGCTTTGCTTTGGCGCAAGCGCAGAAAGACTGAAGTGATCTTGGAGATACAGAAAGGAGAGAGGAGGGGAGGGGAAGGGAGGAAAGGAAAGGAAAAGGAGAAAGAAAAGAAAAAGAATAGAAGAAAGAAAGAAAGAAAGAAAGAAAGAAAGAAAGAAAGAAAGAAAGGAGAAAGAAAGAAAGAAAGAAAGAAAGAAAGAAAGAAAGAAAGAAAGAAGAAAAAGTGTGATAGGGATTCTGAGAAATATATTTCATAAATGGAGAAATAAGATAATTAATTAATATTACACTAAGAAACTAGGAATTGAAGGGCGGATAGCGATATTTTTCATATATTATGTATTAAGAAGAGATTAAGATAAGATTAAAAAAATAGGGAAAAAGAAAATTATGGCTGAAACTGAAATAGGTAAATTGTATTTGGAAAAAAAAACAAAGGAAGATTGGAATAGATGATAAAATTCAATATATAACTATGTTATAAGATGCATAAGATATGACCTGGTCAACGTTCTCTTCATAAAATATGTATGTAAAAGAAAAATTAAATAAAACTTGTTTAAAAAAAACAAAACCTGGTCTCACAAATGTATCCACAATGAGTTTCCCGACATTAAAGCTACACTCTGACTTGATCATTTAATCACATTCAGGAATTGTAATGGACATCATCACAAAAACCTTTGTTAAAACAAACAAACAAACAAAACCCTATTTTAAAAGTGACTTTGGTTCAGTGGCAATTGAGATTCTAGCTTTAAAAAAAGGAATCCAAACACTGCAGGCACAGATCCTTCTATTCCTGTAGCTTTTGTTCCTTCCCTGATAAGAAATCTTAACCATCCTCGATTTATTTCAATGCTGTTATCTGTCTCAGATTATTATTAGAGGATATATTTTTTTTTCTCGGTCTAACACAACTTGTCCTACACACTTGTCCTCTGCCCTGCCTTCCAGATCTCTGCTCTGGTCTCTCAACTTTCTTTTTTTTTTGTTTAAAGCCACTTCCTGCAAAAACAAAAAAAACAGCTGACTTCAGCAGCTGGGAGGGGAAAGCAGAGATCGTATGACAAAGGATAAACAAGAAATCGTGGGAAAAGTGAATCTCCCGCAACTCAGTTTCTGGCTCCTCATGAGAATTCGAAAGAAGACCCCACTAGGATAGAATCAACAGCCAGTACAATTAAGGTAAGAGGCATGAAGGAAGCCCCTGGTCATTCAAAATATTGAAGTTTTACCCAACCTGGTGCCCTTCAGGCATTGTGAGGCTAGAGGGGGAGATTTCCCCAAGAAGCATGAAAAGAGCCAGATCTGAAGACGGCTGTGTTATCAATCTGCCTGTCTTTTTTTTTTTTAAAAAAAATGCAAAATTCAGCCCCATTGGATTCAGTCGGGACTTATTTCTGGAGAAACAACATTGCCTTTCTCCGGTGAGGAAACAGATCGAAGAGGAAGGGTGAGACAGCCTCAGTTTTTAAGTTTCTCTCTTGCTACCGGTCGGGTTGTCTCTCGATTCAACAAATTTGCAAGCTAGCCAAACACATTTGAAAAGGACGGGCTGAAAAAAATCACTCCTTAGGGAGGGTGTTATAGGGAGAGCCTGCTGAATAAACTCTGTTCTGGTTAACCATGTAGAGAAGATTATCTCGCAGAATAACTTTCAGCAAAAGAAGATGTCAAAAAGATGTGGAGACTCTGGAAAGAGCGCAGAGAAGAGCAACAAAGAGGATTAGGGGACTGGAGGCTAAAACATACTTAGAACGGTTGCGGGAACTGGGTATGTCTAGTTTAATGAAAAGAAGGACTAGGGGAGACATGAGAGCAGTGTTCCGATATCTCAGGGGCTGCCACAAAGAAGAGGCAGTCAAGCTATTCTCCAAAGCACTTGAGGGCAGGACAAGAAGCAACGGGTGGAAACTAATCAAGGAGAAAAACAAACTTGAACTAAGAAATTTCCTGACAGTGAGGACAATGAATCAGTGGAACAACTTGCCTCCAGAAGTGGTGCTTTGAAAAATTGCTTGACTCCCTCTTCTTTGGGGCAACCCCTGAGATATTGGAAGACTGCTATCCTGTCTCCCCTGGTCCTTCTTTTCATTAAACTAGACATACCCAGTTCCTGCAACCGTTCTTCATATGTTTTATCCTCCAGTCCCCTAATCATCTTCGTTGCTCTTCTCGGCACTCTTTCCAGAGTCTCCACATCTTTTTTACATCGTGGCGACCAAAACTGGATGCAATATTCCAAGTGTGGCCTTACCAAGGCATTATAAAGTGGTCTTAACACTTCACGTGATCTTGATTCTATCCCTCTGTTGATGCAGCCTAGAACTGTGTTGGCTTTTTTGGGCAGCTGCTGCACACGGCTGGCTCCTATTTACAGTAAATGATGAAATATGGGAAGATATGGGAAGCTCCCGGTCTCCCACTGCAGCCTCTCGCCGACTCCATCTGGTTCCATAAACCGGCCTTCCTCATCCTGAGCCAAGAGATCGAAATGTGATACAGGATGCCAAAGTCCCCTTCCACTCTCTCCCGTCTCTGTTTTTCTTCCGACTCAGCCAAAGTCCTTTTCTCTTTTGTAAGATTCAGCCGTTGCTCCGGAGAGGATGCCGTGACCCGGATCAGTCCTTACAGTGATCAGTGATCTGGGATTCCTGAAGAGAAAGCTTCTTTGGGACAGGCCACGCCATTTTCCTTCCGTGGTCTCTGTCGGGATGGGTTTTCCGTGGCTCCAACTTCCCTTCCTTTTCCTCTTCCACCTCCTGTTTACATCAGTCCAGCTGTGCCGTAAGTCGCTTTGCCTTTATGATTAAGATTGTCAGGAAATGCCAAAATTGGGAAGCAGAAAAAATTCCTACAAAGGGAGAGGTAAGTAAGAAAACATTAGAATGTGCAGAAATGAGTAGATTAACCTTAGCAATTAAGGGGAAGGAAGAATCGGAGGATTACAACGTATGGGGGCAATTTGGGCCAATGGCTGGAGACTGAATATAGACAATAGGCAATGTAAAAGTAAGGAATATGGGGAAAATATGTTGTAATGCATTCAATTTAAATGTAAGAGGAAAGATAAATATGTATTAAGAAAATGATGATAAATGTTCAATATGATGACACAAAACTTTTTGTACCCAGATGTTACACTATACAGAGAAATATCTGCCTCTACCTAGGATCAAACTCACAGACCTCCTGATTGTGAGGCGAGAGCTCCCCCTCTAGGCCATCGCACCACTCTAATGTTTCTTTCTTTCTTTCTTTCTTTCTTTCTTTCTTTCTTTCTTTCTTTCTTTCTCTGGAAGAAATCCCTGCAGAAAACCTCCAGCTCATCCAGTCCCTGAATTCGGAGCTCCTAAAGATAGCGGGCGATGGGTCCCAGGAGCCAGACCCCAGCCTCTATTTGGCCCTTCGGCTTTCCAACCAGCATAATTTGGAGAAGGAAAGGGAGTATCTCAACCGACTGTCGGATGTCTTTCAGCCTCAAAGCAGCCGGTAGGTGCAGCCTAATCGCAACCCAGAAATTTGTCTTGAAAAATTCTTCCAAACAAAGAAGAAAAAATGCCTTAGAAATTCTTGATGGAAATGTAGAATTCCTGCACAGGTGTATTTATTATTTACAGAGAGTCCTCGACTTACGGCAGTTTGTTTAATGACCACTCAAAGTTACAAAGTTCCATTCCATTCTACCCTACTCTACTCTACTCTATTCTCCTTCCTTCTTTCCTCTTCCTCCTCTTCCTCCTCTTCCTCCTCTTCTACCCTCTTCTCTTCTCTTCTCTTCTCTTCTATCCTATCCTATCCTATCCTATCCTATCCTATCCTATCCTATCCTTATCCTATCCTATCCTATCCTATCCTATCCTCTTCCTCTTCCTCCTATTCTATTCTATTCTATTCTATTCTATTCTATTCTATTCTATTCTATTCTATTCTATTTCTATTCTTTCTATTCTATTCTATACCCTACCCTACCCTACCCTACCCTACCCTACCCTACCCTACCCTATCCTATCCTATCCTATCCTATCCTATCCTATCCTATCCTATCCTATCCTATCCTATTCTCCTTCCTTCTTACCTTCTATTCTATTCTATTCTATTCTATTCTATTCTATTCTATTCTATTCTATTCTATTCTACTCTACTCTACTCTACTCTACTCTACTCTACTCTACTCTACTCTACTCTATTCTAATATATTAACCCTGCAGAATCCCTCCCAGCCCACAGAGAAAGAATTTAATGATCCGGTTTCTTGTCTTAGCAGCTCCGGGATCCCTTCCGATCCCAGCCACCGGAAAAAACCTGGGACAGGAGAGCTGGCTTTGTACCTCCTCGCTCTGCGGGCTGCTTGTCAGAACATGGACACCCCAGAGAGGAACCGAGCGGTGACTCAGCTGAAGCTTCTCTTGAATAGAGAAATGAAGCACATCGGTGAGAACGGGGTCAGCCCGAACAATTCCCAATCACAGTTATTTCACAGGGTTTTTCTCCCACTAGGATAACAACGTTCATCCGAGATCGTAAAATTAGAAACGACCAATTTTGAACTTGGTGCCCCCAATCTTGGCCAAATGCTTCTTGTCCTGCCTTCAGGTGCTTTGGAGAATAGCTTGACTCCCTCTTCTTTGGGGCAGCCCCTGAGATACTGGAAGACTGCTATCATGTCTCCCCTGGTCCTTCTTTTCATCAAACTAGATATACCCAGTTCCTGCAACCGTCCTTCCTATGTTTTAGCCTCCGGTCCCCTAATCCTCTTTGTTGCTCTTCTCTGCACTCTTTCTAGAGTCTCCACATCTTTTTTTTACATCGTGGCAACCAAAACTGGATGCCGTATTCCAAGTGTGGCCTTATTACCAAGGCCTTATAAAGTGGTATTAACACTTCACGTGATCTTGATTCTATCCCTCTGTTGATGCAGCCTAGAACTGTGTTGGCTTTTTTGGGCAGCTGCTACACACAGCTGGCTCCTATCGAAATGGTTGAGGACGGAAGGATTTCATTGTTCAGCAAGCATCTTTCTCTACATCTAGGGCACAAGGAGAAAGGTTACCCCATCACCAACTATTTCCAGTACAGCTTGGGGATCCTGGCTTTGTGCGTTCACAACAAGAGGACCGATCCGGAGGTGATCCGGAAGCTGCTGTCGGCTGAACACCATGACAGATTTAATCACCACCAGACACCCTCTGTAGGTAAGATTAGCCTGGCCCAAATCTTCCAGGTGGAGGTGCTTTTTTTTTTTTTAGCCTTTTGGCCAAATTTTCTCTCACTTAAGGACCATTTGACTGGTTTAACAACCGCAGCGATTTGCTTAGTCATTGTTTAGTTTAATTTATTGTCATTGCACCCGGTATAATGAAATTAAATGCCATCTTCAGTGAACATTATACATAAAATAAAATAAAACAAGAACACCCCTCCTTCACGTTCTATGCAATTGAATTGAAAACCTCTGCTATTGCATTAATATTGCACTATACAGTAGAATTCAATATATAGTTACTGCTCTGGGATAGAAGCTGTTTTTCAGCCTATTTGTCCTTGTTTTTCTTGTCCTGTACCGGCTGACGGATGGTAATAGTTCAAAAAAAAAAAAAATGGTACCCAGGATGAGATGGATCTTTTAAGAATGTTTTGAACTTCCTTAAGGCAGCGGGAGCTATAAAGCTCTTCCAAAGATGAGTATGGCAAGAAAGATGTTAAAATGGTGCAAAAGTCACTGTCTCGGTTAACAACGGAAACGTTGGGCTCAGTTGCGGTCATAAGTCAAAGTCTACCTGAATGAATTGAGTCCAGCTGTGGCTGGAAAGAAACAAGGTTTTCTTAAATGAGCTACAAATTGACCGATTTGTTGGGATGCGCGGAACTGTTAACCCTGGTTCACAATTTGTGTTCCAGCCATGTGTCTCCTCTGTAGTCACCTCCTTCCAGTTGGGTGGGATTCATTGAAGGGCCTCTGGGGCCGAACTGGCAGTCTTGGGACCTCACCCCATCCTTCTTTTCCTCTCCTTCACTCAAGACACGGAAGCCATGGCCGGCTTGGCTTTTATCTGCTTGGAACAAACCCCCAGATACCCCCACAATCTCCAGGTCAGCGTAAGCAGGGCTGTGAAACGAGCGAAAGCAAAGATCCTGGAAGCTCGGACTCGAGACGGGGTTTATGGGAACATCTACAGCACCCCGCTGGCGGTGCAGGTGAGGAGAGGGTGGGGTGTCCTGTCCCTGGCATTGTCTTCCTTGATGGTAGGGGGATTTCTCTTGGGGTGCAGGTCATTTATTCACGATTAATGGCATACAAGAGGGTGAGCGGTGTGGTAGCCTAGAGGTGAAGATGCTTTGCCTCCCGCTCGGAAGGTTGAGAGATCAATCCCAGGCAGCGACAGATGTTTCTCTATCAAGGTGGAAAGAGAAAATATTTGCTGTGAACCCCGCGTAGGCATCAGGAAGGGCATCCGGCCAGTAAATGCTCAGTTCTGTTTAGTCTCCCCGACTCCACCCTGAATCAAGGAATTGGAGGGATTACCAAAAAAATGACATATAAGGGGACGCGATGGCTCAGCTGTTAAAGACACCGAGCCTATCAGCAGGAAAGCTGACACCCTGGGTTCAAGACACGATGAGCTCTTGTTCCTGCCCCAGCTTTTGCCCACCTAGCAGTTTGAAAGCATGCAAAATGTGAGTAGATAAATAGGTACCACCGGGTTGGGAAGGTATCCACGTTTCTTGATATAGTCATGCCGGCCACATGACCACAGAAGCGTCTTTCGGACGATGCTGGCTCCCGTGACTAAGAAAGGGGGCTGAACACCGCCCCCTAGAGTCAGACACAACTGAACTTTTACTTTAATGACCTATAGAGGGCGCTTTCTTCTCTAATCTTGGGTGAACTTGTTTAGCTTTGCCATTTGTTTTCCATTAGTTTTTGAGCGCTGTCGGAATGAGGCAGAACCAACAGGAGTTCTCCAGCGGCATGGCGGCCCTGAGGCAGAGCCTGGAACAGGGAGACTTTCAAAACAACCTGATCCGGTCACAGCTGCTGCCTGCCTTGTATTGCAAGAGTTACCTGGATGTTGCCAGCATGACGTGCCAAACTCAGACAGGTAAGGGAGGGAGAGAAGGGAGGCCACCAAAGCTGACTTTGGCTGAAGGGGAAGCGCGACCGATTACAACAAGGGCATCCAGGAGTGGCCTTCAAAAATTTTAGCAAGGGGTTCTCTACCTGGTTGTTGGGTGGGTGTGGCCATGGTGGGCGTGGCCTAGTCGGCCTCCTGCACCATAGTGGGAAGGGGGGATTTGCCCTCCCTAGGCTTCAGAGGCTTTTCGTGAACCTCCAGGAGGGCGAAACGGCCTCCCCAGACACCGGAGGCCCTTCCCGAACTTCTGGTAGGCCTGTTTTTCACCCTCCTCGAGCCTCCGTGCGCGCCCTGCACTTACCTGCATTCAAAACAGGCCATGTGGGGACTCCTGGGAGGGGAGGAGAGGGGAGGGCGGGGCCAGCCAGGAGTGGGATTTGGGGGTTCTCCGAACTGTACAGAATCTTAGCTAGAGATTCTCCCGAACCCCTACGAACCCCCAGCAGCCCACCCCTGAATCCCTTTCATTCACAGTCAGCAAGGCCTGTCCAAACAGTTTTTCAAAGGAATATTTATCAACACAGTCCTTATCTCGCTTGGCAAGCTGCCACGTAATGAGTTTCCAAACGCAGGGCAAGGCCAAACTTGGCACAGAGTCTCTCAAGAGTCACGGAACGAATGAATTGTTTCCTGCAAAAGCCCACTCCCCGTTCGCTCCTCTTTTGTTTCCTAGGGGAGGGGCCAATCTCCTCCAAGGTGTGGCTTTACTCCCAAGTTGACCCAGATTTCTGAGTTGTTCTTGTCTTCTGGGAGCTCTGCACATGCGCACACTGGGAACAGGCTCCAGCTGTTCCTCTGCCTCACTGCCATCTAGCTCCTTCTCTGCCTCCAATGCAAAGCTCTCGTCCGAGCTTTCTCCAGACTCCAGGACTGGCCCATGTTCCTCCCCAACCTCCTCACTGTCCGATTCTGCTGCCACCGGCGGGCCACAACAGCTGGCTGGGGAATTCTGGGAGTTGAAGTCCACCCATCTTAAAATGCCTAAGGTTGGGACACACTGTTCTAACCAGGAAATCGTTTCTGATTCTTCTTCTTCTTCTTCTTTTCTTCACAGAAAGTTCAGTCCCTGATCTTTCCCTGCCGAAACCTCAGGGGATCGATCCGACACGGAACATTTCTATCCGGCTAGAAGCAAGGAAGGCCTCTCAGTTACTGTACCAGCATGTCGTGGTGGTTCCTCGGGGATCGTCTCTTCTGGAGGTCCTGGAAGCTGCAGCCAAAGACGTTCAGCAGCCTTTGAGGTCAGCGCCTCGTTCTCAGGTTTCGGGTGGGCAAGGGGAATTGGCTAGAGGACGGGGTGGGAAGATGGCTGCCTTGGGACCTGGGTGTTTGGCCCAGAGTCGCCCAGCTGGCTTTCAGGTCAAAGGTGGAACTAGAACTCACAGTCTCCTGGTGGTTGGCCCAAAGTCACCTGGCTGGCTTTCGTGCCTAAGGCGGGACTAGAACTCACGGTCTCCTAGTGATTGGCCCAAGTCACCCAGTCACTTTCATGCCTAAGGCGGGACTAGAACTCACAGTCTCCTAGTGATTGGGCCAAAGTCACCCAGTCACTTTCATGCCCTAAGGCGGGACTAGAACTCACGGTCTCCTAGTGATTGGCCCAAAGGTATCCAGCCGCTCTTCATGCCTAAGGCAGGACTAGAACTCCTCATCTCCTGGTGATTGGCCCAGAGTCACCCAGCTGGTGTTCATGCCTAAGGCGGGACTAGAACTCCCTGTCTCCTAGTGATTAGCCCAAAGTCATCCAGCCGCCCTTTGTGCCTAAAGCAGGACTAGAACTCCCCATCTCCTGGTGATTGGCCCAGAGTCACCCAGCTGGCTTTCACGCCAAAGGTGAGACTAGAACTCACAGCCTCCTGGTTTCTAGGCTAGCGTCTTCATCACTAGACGAAACACTCAACCAGTAGATAAAATAATAGACTTTTGTTGGTTTCCTAGTCTGGTCTACCTCAAAGAGCTAACAGGCAGCTTTCCTGATTTGGCCAGATGGCAGGTCCAAAAGCCCGGATCCTTTTGGAGGGTCCCGGATTCCAGAAATCCTCAGAACTGGGGTGACCTGATGGGCAGACTTTGGATTAGCAGCATTCCCAGAGTCCCCCTTTTTCTCTCATCAGGAGAACAGCAGAGCCGGAATAAAAATTAATCAATGAATTTAACTAATCCAATTCCTAGAGAATTTGGGCATCTTCATAATTCGGATCGTCTCGTTCCTGCAAAAAAAATAAAAATAAAATTGTCTCGGATGTAGCCTAACGATGCTTTGCCCGGTTTTCTTAGACGCCGGCTCTCTTTTTTTTGGGTGGGTGTGTGCGTGAAATAGGTATGAGACCCAGAAAACCCTCTCCGGCCCCATGCTGACGGGAGTGATGGGGGAGAAGCCTCAAGAAGGCGAACGGAAGTACTGGAGGCTCCTGAGGCATCCCAACAGCAGTTTGGACCAAGGTGAGGGCTGGATGTTGGGTTGGGGGCAGGGGGGTCGTAGGGATGCTGTTTCTGCCCCAGCTACGGACCCCAAAGAACGCAGCACACACAAAGTCTGTTCAAAAATAAACCAGTTTTTCACAACAATGGCATTAACAGCCGCCAAGAATTCCAAGAATAATAACTGAAAGCTTACTGTGGTTGGCAGAATGCCCAGAAGCAATTTGCAGGAAGCTGATAAGATAAGACAAGAGGGAGGGGGAGGGGTGGGGGAAGGGGGAGGAGGGGGTGTGGGAGGGAGGCGGGGAGAAAATGTTTGTATCTTTGATAAAACTTTTTAATAAAAAAAAAAAGATAAGACAAGACACAAAGGAGAGTGAACGAAGTTGTTCCCTGCAAATTGTTTCAGTCGGCGTTCTTCCTTAAATAGGCTAAGGGAGTGGCCAATTAGCCCCAAGCTAATTGGTGATCCCCAGATAGCCGGAATATAATTGGGGGCAACCCTACAGATTATCCTGTTTCCTTCCTCCTCATAACAGCAACGAGGTGTTTGCATTTCTGCTCCTCAGGTATCGCCGAATACATCCCACAAAATCAAGAGCATATTATTTTGAAGATGACTTCTTGGTAGAGATGGATCCCACCTCTGGTAGGCCCAGCTGTCTCTTCACAAACGATGGGCATACGTGCGGACTTGTCCTTGGAGAATTGGAGCACGTTCTTTTCCTCCCCTCTTGAGGACTAGGATCTTGGTTGTTTTTTTTTAAACGCCTCTTTTGATTTCAGTCCAAAGTCCAGTGATGTAGAAAAAGAAAGAAAGAAAGAAAGAAAGAAAGAAAGAAAGAAAGAAAGAAAGAAGAAAGAACAAACACAACAACAAATCATGACCTACAAAATGTAAAATTTTGTTAAAATTGAAAATACAAAGAAGGAGAAATTGGTTCTAAATCTGTGGCTAAAGGTTTTATAATTGCTCAAGAGCCAAAATGGTCTTAAACCTGTGGATCAAGCTTGACATCACCCAGGAGATAATTTGGTGTAGTGGTTAGAGCCCGAGGCTGCAAAATTCGCACGAGACCAGTAATCGTGGTCTCAGAAACCAAGTTAATACCCGAAAAATAATGAGTGGATTTGAATGAGATAAAAAAGGAAACAGAAAATGTGTTTGATTTATCCTGGGAGTTACTCAAAAGAAGTGTTTATAGTACGGGTGGGAATTCCTATAAAAGAAACAGTAAAATAAAACCTTGGATTGTGCAAGAGAATAACTTCTTCCCTTGGAAATTGTAATAATAATCTAATCATAATCATAATCTGTTTTATCGAAATCTGTTATCACACCTCTTGTAGATCTCTCTTTTTAACAGACCCAGAATTTCTCAGCCTCAAGACTTTAGGAAGTGGGGACTGCAACTCCCAGAATTCCCCAGCCAGTTTGGAGTTGAAGCCCCCCTCAACTTTGAAGAGAAGGTGTAAAAAAGAGAGAGATAACAGACTTCCCAGATGCCAAGAATGTCCCGAAAGGGTCTACGTATTCTATTGTACAACACCAAGCTTTTCGTTTATCGTCTTTTTATAAGGTGCCGAAATTCAGCTTTATAAATCAGATGGAAGATGGATGGATGGATGGAAGGATGGATGGAAGGAAACAAGGATGGATAGAAGATGGAGGGATGAATGGATGGAAGGAAGGAAGGAAAGGAAGGATGTAGAAGGAAGGAAGAAAAGAAAGATAGATACGAAGGATGGATGGAAGGAAGGAAAGGAAGGATGGATCGAAGGAAGGAGGAAAGATGGATGGATGGAAGAAAAAAGGAAGGAAAGATAGATGGATGGAAGGAAGGAAGGAAAGATGGATGGAAGGATGGAAGGAAGAAGATGGATGGATGGATGGAAAGGAAGGAAGGAAAGGAAGGATGGATAGAAGGAAGGAAGGAAAGATGAATGGAAAGAAGGAAAGATGAATGGATGGAAGGAAGGAAAGGAAAGATAGATACAAGGATGGTTGGAAGGAAAGAAAAGGATGGCTCGAAGGAAGGAAGGAAAGATGGATGATGGGTGGAAGGAAGGAAAGGAAGGAAATGATGGGTGGAAGGAAGGAAGGAAGGAAAGATGGATGGAAGGAAGGAAAGGAAAGATAGATATGAGATGGATGGAAGGAAGGAAAGAAAGATGGATCGAAAAGGAAGGAAAGATGGATGGATGGGTGGAAAGGAAGGAAAGATGGATGGATGGAAGGAAGGAAGGAAAGGAAGAATGGATAGAAGGATGGAGGAAAGGAAGGAAGGAAGGAAGGAAAGATGGATGGGTGGGTGGAAGGAAGGATGGATAGAAGGATGGAGGAAAGGAAGGAAGGAAGGAAGGAAGGAAAGATGGATGGAAGGAAGGAAGGAAGGAAGGAAGGAAAGATGGACGGATGGATAGAAGGAAAGGAAGGATGGATAGAAGGAAAGATGCAAGGGTGCCTCGCCAGGAGGGCCGCATTCGGCCGGGACAAAAGGCAGCCCCCGCTGGATTCCTCCTGCGCGCGACTTGCGCAGGCCACTGGGGGCCGCTCTGCGCCGGGGCTACGCGCGAGGCGGCCAGCAGGGGGCGCGGCCGAGGCGGCCGCCTGGTCCAGCTCCCGCAGCATCCGCGGCCGATGCGCCTTCGGGGAGCGGGAGCCGCGAGCCGTTTCCCCGCCTGGGCTGAGCCCATCTCCATCGGGCAGGGCCGCGGCGGGGCGAGGCGCGTTCCCGCTCCAGTCCACGCGCGCCGGGGCCGCGGCTGCCCAGCCCAGCCTAGAGCCCAGCAGCAGCGCAGGTAAGGCTCACCTTCAGGCGCCCTGGCGGGATCACGCGTGTCGGGGACACGGGGGGGGGGGGGGGGGGGAGAGTTTTGTTCCACGCGCGGAGCGGGCAGGAGCCGTGGAGACTGCGCTCCGGGGTTCCTGCAGGGATGCGCGGGAGGGCCTGGAGGGAGCAGCCCCGCATGGAGTAAAGCTAAGGTGGAAGGGGAAAGAGCCCTCCCCCTCCCACTCCTCCTCTCCGCAAACCCCACTCCCTTCTAGCACTGATGATGTAACCTAGTTGGGTGATGAAAGGTCTTCAGGAAAACAGCCCAGCTCAGAGAGCACCAAGGACCCCAAAGTCCTTTTCCTCCTCCTCCTCCCCCTCCTCCTCCTCCCCCTCCTCCTTCTTCCCCCTCCTCCCCCCTCCTCCTTCTCCTCCCCCTCCTCCTCCTCCTCCCCCTCTTCCCCCTCCTCCTCCTAATCCTCCTCCTCCTCCTCCTCCCCTTCCTCCTCCTAATCCTCCTCCTCCTCTCCGCAAACCCCACTCCCTTCTAGCACTGATGATGTTACCTAGTTAGGTAATGAAAAGTCTTCAGGAAAACAGTCCAGCTCAGAGAGCACCAAGGACCCCAAAGTCCTTTTCCTCCTTCTCCTCCTCCTCCTCCTCCCCTTCCTCCTCCTAATCCTCCTCCTCCTCTCTGCAAACCCCACTCCCTTCTAGCACTGATGATGTTACCTAGTTGGGTAATGAAAAGTCTGCAAGAAAACAGCCAAGCTCAGGGAGCACCAAGAACCCCAAAGTCCTTTTCCTCCTCCTCCTCCTCCCCCTCCTCCTCCTCCTCTTCCTCCTCCTCCCCCTCCACCCCTCCTCCTAATCCTCTTCCTCCTCTCTGCAAACCCCACTCCCTTCTAGCATTGATGATGTTACCTAGTTGGGTAATGAAAAGTCTGCAAGAAAACAGCCAAGCTCAGGGAGCACCAAGGACCCCAAAGTCCTTTTCCTCCTTCTCCTCCTCCTCTCTGCAAACCCCACTCCCTTCTAGCACTGATGATGTAATTTAGTTGGGTGATGAAACGTCTTCAAGAAAACAGCCAAACTCAGAGAGCACCTCAAAATCCTCTCCCTCTGAAGGTCGGAATAGAGCCAATCAGGTCTTCGGAACCAATGGATCCGATCGAATAATTAATTATCCCTTCAATTTCACTCGGCAGCTGCCCAAATCTGTAAACAGGTTTAATGAAACACCTTGTCAATAACATTGGTGATGAAAGCGACGCAGCTTTGAGTGTTGGCTCGAAGGCAAGACTTCTTCAGTTGGATATAAAACGTTTCTGGTTGTGTGTGTGTGTGTGGAGGGGGAGACACCCTGTTGTGTGGCTTTCTCCTTGCAAGAAGCTAAGCGTGGATGGTGACAAGGTCCCTCGGTGGCTGCTGGGTTTCTAGGACGACTGGAAGTTTAGGAACATCTTGACTCAGGTTTTCCTTGCCTTTCCCCTCATTATTTTTTTAAAAACAATTTATTTCTGCAGCCACAAGCCTTCGATGAGCTGTCCCGGCCAGACCCAACTTCCCTCCCTCCGTCTGGCACTGGCACAGGATTGGCGCCTCGGGGTAAGATAGTGTCCTCTCGGCCAGACTCACTCCCTGGTTACCCGAAGGTGGAGCTTCCTGCCAGCCTAAAACTTGGTGTCACTTCTCCCTCTCTGCTGGGATCCTCGCACGTGGCCGAGCCCAAGCCGGCCGGCTGCGGGAAGGGGGAGCGGGCCCTGGGCGTGCCAAAGAGGCTGGAAGGCAACACGGCTGCGACACCAGGGGACGGAGGGAGAAGGCGGCTCAACTCCTTTTTCCGAAGAGTCGAAGGAGAAAGTCTCCGGCTATCTTTGCCACGCGAGGAGTCTTGTTTTGTTTCCAAGTTCTCCAAACAAGTTGGGAGTTCCCAACCCGTTCCAGACAGGCCTGGGAGAAGACCACAACGCAAGGAAAGGAAATCTGATCCCGGTGACTCACAGGGAGGGACGGCGGAGAGCGAGGAGGCGAAAGGAAGGATCGCTCGGAAGAAGCACTGCCACCGAAGGATTCCAGTTCTGAGCAAGGGGCAACTGAGCAGCCCACCTTCTTGGCTAGGAAAGGACCCTCCAGACCAGCGGAGACCCTCCCTGGGGTCTCCAGATTTCGTTCCCGGTTGCAACTCAGTTCTGCCCGTGCCGTCTTTACTTTACTTTTACTTTGATTGAATTTGTATACCGCCCTACTCCCGAAGGACTCAGGGCGGTGAACAGCCATAGAATAAAACATATAAATACCGAATTTAACATAGAATAAAACGAATGAAATAATTTGGCTGAAATTTAAAACCCCAATAATTTAAAAACCAAATTTAAAATTTCCATTAAAAAGGGGGAAAAAAAAACTTAGGCCAGGCCAGCGTGATGAAATAAGAACGTCTTGAGCGCGCGACGGAAGGTACGCAGGTCCGGGATCTTCCGTATCTCCGGGGAGGGGGAGCTCGTTCCAGATAGTAGGTGCCCCCACAGAGAAGGCTCTCCCCCTGGGGTCCGCCAGTCGACATTTTTTTGGCCGTCTCAGATCGCCGTCTCCAATGTGCCTGCCAGCGGGGAAGAAGCACGATGCCGTGATGGGCTCGGCCGTCGAAACCTGGCCGCTCTCGCCCTGGAAGCAGGATCCCGGGCAGCGCTGGGGGCTGAGGCTGTTTTCCCGGTGGCGCCACACTCTGCCCTTGGTGGCCACCGTCTTGACGTGGTTGGCTATGGGCTCCACCATGTCCAGCCTGAACAAGTGGATTTTTGCCGTCCACAATTTCCGTTACCCGGTGTTGCTGTCCTCCTTACACATGCTGACGGCCGTGGTGGTAGGCAGGCCCCTCGACAGGCTCCAGGCGGGAAGATCCGGCCACCCGGCTCTCCATCCCAAAGCCCAGCTCCGGGTTTTCCTGCTAAGCCTGACCTTCTGCGCCAGCGTGGCTTTTGGGAATCTGGGGCTCAACCACGTCCAGCTGGACTTCGCCCAGATGGTGTACACCACGACTCCGCTCTTCACCCTGAGCCTCTCGGAGCTGCTCCTGCGGAAGCGCCACCACCCGCTGCAGTACGCGGCCATGGGCCCCATTTGCTTGGGGGCCTCCCTGAGCTTCGTGGGGGAGGTGCACTTCGATCAAGCCGGCTGCTGCTTCCTCTTCGCCGCCACTTTCCTGCGAGGCCTGAAGTCCATTCAGCAAAGTAAGTGACCCAGGGGAGTCGGCGAGGCAGGCGCTCTCGAAGGGGGCCGCTGGAAGGTGGGCGGACTCCTGAAGTCCACCCATCTTCAAGTAGCCATGGTTGAGAAACGTTGTCCTACGGTTGATTGGCTAAATCTCTCTGTCTCTGTCTCTCTAATCAATCAATCAGTTTGTCTGTCTGTCTCCATCCATCTATCTATCTATCTATCTATCTATCTATCTATCTATCTATCTATCTATCTATCTAATCTACTGTATATATCTATCTCTATCTATCTCTATCTCTATCTATCTATCTCTATCTATATGTATATATCTCTATCTCTAACTATCTCTACTGTATATATCTCTATCTAACTCTATCTCTAGCTCTAGCTCTAATTCTATCTATCTATATGTATATATCTCTATCTCTATCTAACTATCTACTGTATATATCTATCTCTATCTATCTCTAGCTCTACCTCTATCTATCTATATGTATATATCTCTATATCTATCAAACTATCTCTACTGTATATATCTAACTCTATCTATCTATCTCTATCTCTACCTCTATCTATCTCTATCTATCTATCTCTATCTATCTATTTCTATCTCTACATCTCTCTCTCTCACTCTGTCTGTCTATTTATCTATCTATCTATCTATCATCATCTATCATCTATCTATCCATCCATTATCTATCTATCTATCTATCTATCTATCTATCTATCTATCTATCTATCTATCTATCATCTATCTATCCATCCATCCATCCATCCATCCATCCATCCATCCATCATCTATCTATTCTATCTATCATCCATCCATCCATCCATCCATCCATCCATCCATCCATCCATCATCTATCTATCTATTCTATCATTATATTAGGGGCCTGGTGGCTCAGCAGACTGATAGCATTGTGATTAACACCAGCTGCCTGCAATTTCTGCAGGTTCGAATCTCACCAGGCTCAAGGTCGACTCAGCCTTCCGTCCTTTCTAAGGTAGGTAAATTGAGGACCCGGATTGTGGGGGCAATAAGATGACTTTGTATAAAATATATACAAAAGGATGAAGGCTGTTGCTTAGCGCATTGTAAGCCGCCCTGAGTCTCCGGAGAAGGGCGGCATATAAATCAAATTTTAAAAAAAAAATTATCTATCCATCCATCCATCCATCATCTATCTATCTATTCTATCTATGTCATTCTATCATCTATCAATATGTATCTCTATCATATCTCTCCCTCCTCTTTCTCTCTCTCTCTCTCTCTCAATCCATCAGAATAGAGCTGGAAGGGACCTTGGAGGTCTTCTAGTCCAACCCCCTGCTCCAGCCCCCCCATACCGTTTCTGAGAGATGGCTGATGACTCCCTCATCATCTCCATGGTCAGACGATTTACCTTCGGATGTTTGGCAACTGGTTCATATTTATGACGGTTGCAGCACTCCGGAGTCATTTGATCCCCTTTTTACGACGAAGTTGGCAGGGAAGGCAGCTTCGCTTAACAACCATATTTAACAACTGCAGGGATTCCCTTAACAACTGTGGCAAGAAAGGTCGTAAAACGGGTCAAAGCTCACTTAACAAATGTCTCGCGTAGCCACGTAAACGTTGGGCCCTATTGCGGCCGTAAGCCGAGGAGTAGCGGAAATGTCTTGGGAGTTTCTTTTGGCTGGTTGCCCCTGGCGGTCTGTGGGCCCAGATCCTGAAGCTTTGCTGACATCTCTCCCCCCCACCCCTTGTCTGCCCCACAGGTACCCTCCTGCAGGAAGAGCACCTGGACTCCTTGAGGCTCTTGTGCCTGACTTCGCTGCCCAGCTTCTGCCTCCTCTTCGTGGCCGCGCTGGGCATGGAGGTGGGCTGGGCCTGGGAGGGCCTGCTAACCTACGAGGCCAGCCTCTGGACTTGCGTGCTGCTCAGCTGCCTGGGCTCGGTCCTTTACAACCTGGCCAGCTTCTGCATCCTCTCGCTGACCTCCGCCCTGACCATCCACGTCCTGGGGAACTTTAACGTGGTGGGCAACCTGCTTCTCTCCCATTGGCTTTTCGGAAGCCACCTGACTTTGCTGAGCTACGTGGGCATCGCCCTCACTCTGCTGGGCGTCCTCATGTACCATCACTCCGAGGGGATCGCCGCTTGCTGGCGCTCGCGGGCGGGCCCAGCCAAAAAAGAATAGGTGGGCGTGTGTGTGTGTGTGTGTGTGCGTGTCAGAATCGGCTGGAACAGCTCCCTTTCTGACGGCGAGCTCATCCTCCCTTTCTGCTGGCCTTGAGATCTCCCGTAAATCCTATTGGCGGTCAGGATCGGCAAACAACAGCCTGCATACGGGAAACTCCTATTGCGGGCGGAGTAAAACCACTATGGGCTGAATATGCGCAACAAGCAGAGCCATGGATTATGGCTTAGGAGTCTCAAAAGCGGGGGTCGCGTCACCTCTTTTGAGTCTCAACCCCTGGATGGCTTAGATTAAGCCAGGAGTCAGCAACCTGCAGCTCTGGAGCCGCATGTGGCTCTTTCACCCCTCTGCTGCGGTTCCCTGTCACTCAAAATATGTATCGCAACTGCCAATGTGTGACACCTGCCGGCACATGATTTATTGAGCTTTTCCATCCCCGGTAGGCCAACCATGGATACATCCAAGAAAAGAAAAGTTTCTGAAGAAAACAGAATGTTTAATTCGACTACATATGCTAGTTCTGTGGCCGCTCGAGAAATCGTCAGGCACCGGAAGGGTTTTGTGGCTCCCGGTGTTTTCTTTTCTGTGGGAAACGGGTCCAAATGGCTCTTTGAGTGTTTAAGGTTGCAGACCCCTGGCTTAAGCCATCTAAATTGGGCTAAATCCGGTCAAAAAGCTTTGAGAAGGAAGCTTTTCTCTCTCTCTCTCTCTCTCTCTCCAAACAGGTCCCTGTGGTTTGAATGATTTTGTAATTCCGGGCAAGAATTACAGTAAACGGTTTTTAGGAAATACTTTTGCCTGCCCGGCGCAGGTGAGTGTGAGACAAATTCTGATTTTTCACAAAAAGACAAGATGCCAGAAAGTTTTAGCTTTATGGGTTTTTTTTTTTTTTAAGTTATGGAGATTTCCAAGTTTGTCTTCTAAAATCTGGTCTTTGGAAAGAGAAGAAGTTATTTTTCATTCAGAGTTGTGTTCGTCAACCTTGGCAACTTGAAGACGGGCGGATTTCAACTCCCACAATTCTCCCACAGTCTTGGCTGGTTCAGGAATTCTGGGAGTTGAAGTCCGCTCATCTTCAAGTTACCAAGGTTAAGAAACACTGCTTCATTAGACGCCCTACAGATTTAGTGCATCTTTCGCAAGGTTTGTTTATGGTTTATAATATTTATTTTTATACCGCCGTATTTCCCAGGGATTCCTGGGGATTTAACTGTAATTCAAAAACACATCAGAAGGACACAACTTCGGATCTGAACAAGGTGCCAGGATTATTCTTAGCAGTGGTGAAATCTGAACCGGTTTGCTAATGGTTTGCGGGTCGCGCATGGACGCCGCGCGCCGAACACATGCTGAGCACGAGCATGTGCAGTACGGGCCAAAAGGAGGCTTGGGAAGGGAAATCCTGCTTTCTAGCAAAGCTAAACCCTGCGGCACAGCTGATCGTCGGAAATACCGGTTCGGAGGAATCGGTAGCTTTTTTTAAGTACTTTTTAGTTTTTAACTACTGGTAGTTTTTATCACTACCGGTTTGCCGCACACCAGAGCAAACCAGTAGCATTTCACCCCTGATTCTAAGCTATTACGTTGGGAGAAGTCAGGCAGGAGGAGGGGGCTGCAATTTTGAAGCCGATGGCCACTGTTAGGGTGTGTGTAAATAGTATTTGTTGCTTGTGCAACGAGCAGAGCAGAAACACACAGGGAAGGAGATAAACGTGCAGCTCGTGTGAGAAAAATACTTTATATACAAGATAATAAGCAGTCTCGGTGTAGGTAAAACAGTCCAAGGTCATAAACAGTAATATCAATCCAGTAAGTATCTTCCCTTACCAAAGCAAACAGACTTTAGTAACTCTTGGTATACAGTACCATATAACAATTCAGTCTAACACCAATCAGCAGAAAGACGCAGGAAGCAACAGGAACAATCAGGAAGAAAGAATGCTTCTCTGCGCTGCTTATTTATGCACTGTAGCCTAATTACAGGGTTCAGCAAACCCTGATTATGTGGCTCAGTTGTTTCTTAAAGAAACAGATATATTGCCTGACCAACAAGTTAGGAGTAAGCTACAAGCTGAACCTAACAGCCACTTTGGCTTTGAAGGGAGTTGATGTGACAATCAGGCTGGCGAAAGTAAGGCCAGGGGCCCCACCCCTTTTGGAAAGAAAAACCTGGCCTGGCCTGTTAGAGTAAAGGAACATGTGCACAGAATTCCTCCGGTCCAAATTATATCTGGGTATTCTTAATTTCGATAGCACCCGTAGTCTGCTTGCACAGAAGAGATTCTTTGAGGGGTGGGATTCGGGTCCGTAGTTTAAATAAGGTCACCTTATTTCATCATCATCTTCTTTTAACGACTCCATAATCCCTTGCAGGGAGGAGTCTGGGCAGCTGAATGGAGCTGAGTGTTTACTGCCCGGATGCTCTTCCTGTTGCCAGTATGGAGTTTTGTTCAGCAGATAAATTCTCATTGTGCCCAGAGAGAGAGAAATATCTGCCTCAACCTAGGATCGAACTCACGGCCTTCCCGATTGTGAGGCGACAGCTCCACCTCTAGGCCACCGGCACGCCTCTTAAATAAGGTCCCCTTCGCACAAGTGATTTCGTGACACACGTCATCACCTCAACCCTGTGGGTCCTATCAGGGTGTGTCCGTAACTGTACATCGTTTCTTTGTAACTCCGCAGAAGACGATCTCAAATCATCTGCTTTTCCCGCCTGGGGGTTGATCATACAGGAAGGGTGTGTGTGTGTCATTGTACGGCCGTCATAACAAAAAAAAATGGAAATGTTGTGGCTGCCTATCTTTCTGTACCCAGACTGGCTGCATAGAGGACATTAAACTACGGTTTGTTTAACTGTGATCTACTGAATAAGCCACTGGGGTGAGTTTGCACAGTATATGCTAAACCACAAGGTGCTGTTTATATAGATCCTAAACCTGCATAAACCACATCTGGGTTTAGCATCAGCATTATCCTACAATCTGCATTGTTTGGTGCTATAGACTATTAGTTGCTTTGAACAACCAGGCAAATCAAGCTATTCCTCCCTGCCTCCTTTAAAGATTTTTAATCTTGGCTTGCAAGACATGCAATAACCACAGAGAGGCAGCAAGGAGATAGAAAAAGAAAAAAACCCTCCGCTACTTTGCTGCCATCTAGTGGTAATCTAGCATCTTGCAGGCCAGGAAAAAAAACTCGTCTCCCTTTGTTCCTAAAGCACACACAGGGCATTTGATTCCTGAATTAAAGATCTCGCCAGCAACAAACCACATTTTAAAATTCTAGATGAAACCGAAACGAAACTACGGGTCGAGACGCTTATTGAGAATGGTGATTTAATTGAAGCGAGAATCTGGGAGATGGGAGGGAAGGAGAATGCCAGGCCTGACTTGATGGCTCCTTTTTTTAAGTAAAACTTTGGATGGTTCGGCCCAACTCAACACAGTTTCTGCCTAGCCTTTTTTTTTTCTTGAGGTGGTTGCAACCAAAAAAATAAGTTTGAGGGGGGGCATGAGTCAGATATTGTGTCCTTCCTTAGTAACCTTAGTTAAGCTCTAGAATTTGGCTGGCAGGAGATGTTTCAATCCACCTGAGTTGGATTCGACTCTTCGTTGCAAATGAGGAAGACTCTTTAAATCAGATTTAAACCCAACCTTGAGAATGTTAAGGCATGTGGACTTCAACTCCCAGAATTCCCCAGCCAGCGGGCTGGGGAATTCTGGGAATTGAAGTCCACACATCTTAAAAGTTGAGAAACACTGCAATGGATTCTTAGTTTAGAGAAAAAAATGTTGTCAAAGAAGTCCACAGTTGATATTGTGGATTCCTCCCTCACGCTTTTCTGAATTAACTGAGACTCGGCTGACCTCTTGATAGAACTGGGAGACCCCTGAATAAAGTCTCCCCTAAAAACTTTTTAAATTATTTTAAATTATTTTAAAATTATTAAAATTATAGGGACGCGGTGGCTCGGTGGCTAAGACGCTGAGCTTGACGATCAAAAGGTCGGCAGTTCGGCGGTTCGAATCCCTAGTGCCACGTAACGGGGTGAGCTCCCGTGACTTGTCTCAGCTTCTGCCAACTTAGCAGTTCGAAAGCAGGTAAAAAATGCAAGTAGAAAAATAGGGACCCCCTTTGGTGGGAAGGGAACAGCGTTCCGTGCGCCTTTGGCGTTGAGTCATGCCGGCGACGTGACCACGGAGACGTCTTTGGACAGCGCTGGCTCTTCGGCTTTGAAATGGAGATAAGCACCGCCCTCTAGAGTCGGGAACGACTAGCACATATGTGCGAGGGGAACTTTTACCTTTACCTTTTAAATTTATGGCTTCTGGCTCAGAGACTTCCGTCATCCCTGGGGTTTTTCAGAATCGTATCTTCCTGTTTAGGGATCCTTCGCCCCTTCTTTGATTCCCAGGCTTTGCAACGGAACAGCCAAGGGCAGTGATTTGTTTTGCGACGGTCACGAAACCACGGTTTATTATCTTCTGAGTGGGGTGTGTGTGTCGCAGGTAGGGCTGGACCTCAAGAGCCAGAAGAGTTTAAATGTTTTGCTAACCAACGGAAGATGAAACCCTTCCCAGCCTCGTGGGAAGTCAATAAGCACCCGGCAACCTATTTAACATCTCGGCTCGTGTTTGTCTCAAAATAAAACTCTATTTTTGTCTTATTTGTGTCCTGATGTCCTTGAATGACCCGGAGGAAAGGAAGGGCTGGCTTGGAATATATGACGCGCCTCCGGCCTCTGCAAAAAACAACAACAACAAAAAACTGGAGGTGGGGAACAGTTTGACAGCCTAGAGAAGCTGTTTTGGGGAAAGAAATGACTTTTCTGGGGAAGGAAGGATAATTATTCAAAGTGGCTGAATAATTGGTTGCTGTAGCAACGGCTGCCCAGCATTTCAAGCAGCCAGGAACCAGCCAGAAAGGAGAAGCCTTTGCAAGCACGCTGGATAATAATGCATGTGTGACCAAACCTATGGAAAAAAAATTTAAAAAGAAAAAAATCTTTGGGAAACAGCAAGGTTTTTGCAACGGGAAGGTTGCAAATAATCATAATAATCATAATAATGGGAGAGAGAGCATCCTTTGGCAGCCGGTTCAATGCTGAACAATTCAGGCCTTCCGAAAGATGTTGTCATCGCTTTTGTGTGTAATTGGAACGACTGCAGTTGTAGTAAAAATGTTAGCATGCAGGGCAGAATGGACCGGATTTCTTGCCAATCAACCGCTGGAGTTGCAATCATCAGTCAACTTCTCTCTGGTTGGAAAAAAAAAAACATTTGGTGATTTATATGTCGTACGTTTGGTCCTGGGGAGGAAAGCCATGGGAAATCTAGATAGCGTAGTAAAAAGCAGAGATATCACCCTGGCAACAAAAGAGTGTATAGTCAAGGCTATGGTTTTCCCAGTTGCAATGGATGGCTGTGAAAGTTGGACCATAAGGAAGGCTGAGCGCCAAAGAATGGAGGCCTTTGAGCTCTGGTGCTGGAGGAGACTCCTGCGAGTCCCTTGGACTGCAAGGAGATCCAACAGGTTGGTCCTAGAGGAGATCAACCCTGCCTGCTCTTTAGAAGGTCAGATCCTGAAGAGGAAACTCAAATACTTTGGCCACCTAATGAGAAGGAAGGACTCCCTGGAGAAGAGCCGAATGCTGGGAACGATGGAGGGCAAAAGAAGAAGGGGACGGCAGAGAACGAGGTGGCTGGATGGAGTCACTGAAGCAATCGGCGGGAGCTTCAATGGACTCCGGAGGATGGTAGAGGACAGGAAGGCCTGGAGGAACGTTGTCCATGAGGTTGCGATGGGTCGGACACGACTTCATAACTAACAACAACAACAATATCGTATGGATGCTAAAGAGGGGAAGGCGTTTTGTTAACCATAGTCCGTAACCTTAGATCCCAAGGCTAAGTTTCTGCATTCCACCAAGCTACAAATAAGCCAGCATTGGGTGGAATTGCAGCACATGCTAAGCTAGGAAATGACGGTTTGCACACACCACTGTAGTTGTTTCTCAGACAATGGGTTAAAAAGTCCAATAATCACATTATGATTTACACGCTGGGTGAAATCAGGTGTCCAGAAGACATCCATTCCTGTTGGACTTCATTTCCCCACCACCACCCCGAGAGTGGGGAATTCTGGGAGTTGAAATCCACAAGTCCTAAAGTTTTTTTTTTTTTAATTTGATTTATATGCCGCCCTTCTCCGGAGACTCAGGGTGGCTTACAATGCGTTAAGCAATAGCCTTCATCCTTTTGTATATTTTATACAAAGTCAGCTTATTGCCCCCACAAACTGGGTCCTCATTTCACCTACCTTAGAAAGGATGGAAGGCTGAGTCAACCTTGAGCCTTGGAGAGATTCGAACCAGCAGTAAATTGCAGGCAGCTGTGTTAATAACAGGGTGCATTAAACCACTGTACTATCAAGGCAAACCCTGCCTTGTTTTATAGAAAACCAGGATGCTCACTTGAAGGCAAAAAAAAAAAATCCATTTAGAAACCTGAATATAACAGATCCCTTTTTGCAATCCGGAATTTTGCAAATTCTGACAGGTAGCGGAAATTTTGAGTAGTTTGGAGAACCGGTAAATACCACCTCTAACTGGGCCCACCCCCATCTATTCTCTGCCTCCCAAGTCCCAGCTGATCAGGAGGAAATGGGGATTTTGCAGTAACCTTCCCCTGGAGTGGGGTGGAAATGGGGATTTTACAGTATCCTTCCCCTGGATTGGGGAGGGAATGGAGATTTTACAGTATCCTTCCCTTGGAGTGGGGTGGGAATGCAGATTTTACAATATCCTTCCCCTGGAGTGGGTAGGGAATGGAGATTTTACAGTATCTTTCCCTTGCCACGCCCACCAAGCCACACATAAATTTTATTCGGTTGGTATGACCTAACTATTTTTTTTTTTTTTTGTAATCACCTGCCTTGGAAACTGAAATTAGTTCTTCCTCCTGCGTGGGAAATCTGTCTGTTACCAACTCTTCATTCACCTGAGGATTCAGGTAAACATCAGAGAAAAGGGGTAACTGAATACGAACTGTTTGAGCACCTGTTACTTACTCATGAAGGTTTTGTCCCATTCCCCGGAACAGATTAAATTGACCTCAGGTAGGAAAACCTGTTTGATCAGAATCCTGGTTTTGTCACATGACCTAAAATCCAGGTGTTAACTTTCTCTCCTTTCTGTAAAGAAAGAGCGGAGATCCAAGTAGGTAAGTAAGTAACTTTCTTTGGGAAGTCCAAGAATTTGGTGAGTTTTCCTCTTGTTTCCTGGAGTCAATTAATATTTAGGTATTGCTGCCTCTGAATAAAATTCAGGTTAATACAGGTATAGATGTAGCAAGGAAAATGATGGTGGAGGGAAACTCTCTTTTGTTCTGAATAGCTCAGTTTTCACACCAGCGTATTAACCGAGGCAAACAATACAGGTAGATTGGGGAGTTCTGGGAGTTGAAGTACACCCATCTTGGACTCGCCAAGGTTGAAAAACACCTGTGTTGCATCTTTTTAAACATGCAATGCCCTTCAGGTTAATTGATACGAATTGAGAGGTTCCAGATTGTTTATGTAGACTCAGAGCATATCTAAGATTCTACATTGGGGATACAACTTGAAAGAAAGAGAATAGAATAGAGTAACAGAGTTGGAAGGGACCTTGGAGGTCTTCTAGTCCAACCCCCTGCTTAGGCAGGAGGCCTCCACCACTTCAGACAAATGGTTATCCAACATCTTCTTAAAAACTTCCAGTGTTGGAGCATTCACAATTTCTGGAGGCAAGGAGTTCCACTGGTTAATTGTTCTCACTGTCAGGAAATTTCTCTTTAGTTCTAAGTTGCTTCTCTCCTGGATTAGTTTCCACCTGTTGCTTCTTGTCCTGCCTTCAGGTGCTTTGGAGAATAGCTTGACTCCCTCTTCTTTGGGGCAGCCCCTGAGATATTGGAACACTAATATCATGTTCCAGTAGAGCAAACAAAGATTTGCCTGCCGTGCCCCCACAAAAAGCGATGAAAAAGTAGCTTTATAATCTAACCATAAGTAGAAGGGAAAAGGAAAGAAAACATGGATTTATCATTAGCCCCGAAATTGGATTACTGAGGAAATTGTTCCTTTCCAGACCGTCCAACCAGATGAATTCATCAACTGCACACCTGATTCGATGTTTGCAGCAAATACACAAGGTTGGTACTTTCTCCTCCTCTTCAGATCTTACTTTTTGTCTGCCAGGTTTCTTCTCCTTCCATGCCTCCATCCGTCGTTTTGAAGTGGATTGTATAGAGTTCTTTTTTTTCTTCACAAAATGTCCATGCTACACACACACACACACACCTGTTTCCTACACTTGACTCTGGGAATTCTGGAATTCTGTGTCCTATTCCCTTGCGTGGGAATCCATATTGGACGTGACTTCCTTCAAAAGTTCAAAAGGGAAGCAGTATGCTCCCTCCCATATTGGGGTAGACCAGGTAATTCGAGAGAAAAACACTTTATATATATATCTATTAGTTCAAATCCGAGTAAGGGTATGGCTAGCTGATGAGAGCTAAATAGCTTGAAATAGATCTACACAATTCTCTCTTGGCTCAGAGGTTAATACAAGTGCCTAATATGCAGGCAGCCCAAGTTCAAATCCGAGTAAGGGTATGGCTAGCTGATGAGAGCTAAATCGCTTGAAATATCTACATAATTCTCTCTTGGCTCAGAGGTTAATACAACTGCCTAATATGCAGGCAGCCCAAGTTGGAATCCGAGTAAGGGGTATGGCTAGCTGATGAGAGCTAAATAGCTTGAAATAGATCTACACTAGTCTCCCTTTATTTCTTTTATCAGCAAAGTATAAATTTAGTATAAAATGGTTTGTCGTGAATGCGACTGCTTGAGGGCTCCTGGATTGGAGCTGAAAGGCGAAAGGGAAGCAGTATGCTTATTTATTATTTATTATTTGGACTTATATGCCGCCCTATCTCCGAAAGGACTCAGGGCAGCTCACAACAATAAAACACACAAAGTTCAATTTTTATTTTATTTTTTAAGAATACCCAATAAAACTATAAAATCCATTAAAATCCCCTCTAAAACCCCTTCAGTCCAAGCCGGCCGGGCGAAATTTTTATTTTTTATTTTTATTTTTATATGCCGCCCTTCTCCGGAGACTCAAGGCAGCTTACAATGCGTTAAGCAATAGCCTTCATCCTTTTTGTATATTTTATACAAAATCAGCTTATTGCCCCCACAATCTGGGTCCTCAATTTCTGGAAAGAAGCTATTCCACCGATGAATTGTTCTGTTGGGAAATTTCTCCTTAGTTCTAGGTTGCTTCTCTCCTTGGTTAGTTTCTCTCCGTTGCTTCTTGTTTTCACGGAGATGTTTCCACACACTGCTCTGCAAATATTTTGAAATATAATTCCTACCATGTGGTGGCAACGCGCCGAATAGCCAGGCGGTTGGCCCTCATTTGGCAGATGTCCCGCTGAGCAACTATTCACACAGTTAGGATGGGGATAAAAATGTAATTGTACAATGAATCCTCACCTACACAACCTTTGCAGGTCTGTCAAGCAAAGGGAAGCTGAGAGAAGGTCACAAGCACAGTTGTGGTTTCGTTTAATGACCAAGTTGCTGGTCCCAATTGCGGCTACTAAAGGAGGACTACCTGTGGCA